GCATGCTCAAAGTAGATGTATAGCTAATGTGCGTAGACTAAATTGATCGACCCCCCAACACCAGTGCTCTAGAAAAGAAAGCGCTTTTTGAAGACTACAACGTTGCAGACCTAGAACGATGCCGCCTTGTCAAGTAGCAGGGATGGGAATCGTATATAGCTTGAATGTTCTTTGGGAGGAGCACAAACACTATGAGACAAAAAAGTCGAAGGGAACGCAACATCGGTGGCACTGAGCAAACCTATAAAGGAAGTCCTCATATTTATATAAGGTTCCCCTCCGTGTGCATTGGTTTGGGGTGGGGCTGGTTCAGGCTGGTTGGTCAAGGGTTGGTTTGGTTTAGTGAGTCTAGGTTGGTGTTTGTTTGGGGTGGCTTTAGGACTAAATCAGTGTTGCTTCTCACAGGCTAGGTGTTTTTTGTTTCTAGGATGACTGGCTAAGGATAAGGTGCGGGCTTGGAATAAAGAGTGATAGACTTGCATGGTTTAAGATCAGTTTGGGCGGTCCTAGATCAGTTTGGGGTTGTTTCAGGGCTTGTCCAGAAGGGTTGCGGGCTGGCTTAAGGTTAGTTTAGTGTGGTGTAGGTTACAATATCAAAAGTTGGCAAGTCAGTTTGGGATTGATGCGTGGTTGCATTGGCCAAAAAGTGACTAACGTCCGAAATGGAACTCAGGGAGTGAGCCTGTGATAGGTGAAGGTTAGGTTTTGGCTTGGAAGCTTGCATGCTCAGGGTGCCAAGGATGCTGAGGGGCGGGTGGTCCGACCCCTATGTTTACAAATGTATGTTTTCATATTTACATAGTATAGACATATATAGTTGCTTGATGGTGTGTGGAAGTGTAGAATCATAATATGTTCCAACATGTGGTGTCACACGTGCACCTTCTCGTAAGGCAACAACCCAAAACAAGTTTGCTGGCTTAAGAGGCAATGTGACTATGACCAATGTGCAGTCTAGGCCCATGCGGGCCATCCGTACGCACGCACTCTAGAAGTCGTCGTTTCAAATACTCGAGGCCTCCACCCTTCCGATTTTCGGCGGGGGAAGGAGTCACAGGGGTGACTGATTACATTAGATTCAAAGCTGTGGACGGATGAACAGTCAAAATGTCTGCTTTCATTTGCACAGTATCGGCCAACACAGTGGGTGAATGACTAGTGATTCCACTTCCCTAGGTAAGCAAGGGAACCACTTCAGATATCCAAAGGGAATCTCTGCAGCCTACATCAGCCTACTACATGGGTATGTGTCGCAGCAGGACTCGAAATGTTCCCTCGAAATGGATCTGTCTTTTTTCGAGTGTGCCCTTGTTGGTTGGTTCTCGAGGGACACCAACAGGTCACCAACCATTTGTTGGGGTTCCACGCGCTTGTGGGACGTGCAACCACCTCGGCACCAGGAACAACCGCTGTCACCACACAGTCTTTCAACAGGGAGGGCAACCCCAAGATTTCTTGTTCAACGCTCAAGCCGAAACCTGAGATTTAAGTTCGCTTGAGTATGCTTTGGTGTGGAGACTTCCTAAACAACTCCCAGGCAACATCCAAGCCATATGTGTGTCATGACCAAAACGTAGTGTACAGTTAACAAGGCTCAGTGTAGAGAGAACAAGGGTCAGTGTACAGAGAACAAGGGTCAGTATAGAGAAACATATACCAAACAATTCCACACATGTGAAACAATATCGAAAACTATGTCTCAAACATGTCCGAAACAATGTCCAAACATTTTCCAACCAACTTCCCTGTGTGCTGAACGTTATTTCACTGGCTGACAACGTTGATAGGTTGGTTCACTTACGGCGACATCACGAAGTTAAGGTTGTCAGGTCGTGCTTGGATGCTTTTAGGTGCAAGCGCTATGGCAAGAATCGACATCAACCAAACCCAGTTGTCTCGTTCTGAAAGGCGACCACCTTTTATCAAGGCTGGAATTAGGACCCCAGCAAAATATATATATATATATATATATATTTGCCTGGTAAACAAAGGGGACCCCCAAAAAAAAGCAAACAAGGAAAAAGGGGAGCTAATTCTGGGGAAGATATATAGTGAGTAGCTTCATCCATTTGCTTAGGCCACCTGGAAAAAACATGAAATCATGTCCAGTGGTGACTAAAAAAAAAAAAACCTTTAAAATCAATAGGGGGAAATACCAAATTTGCCGGAGCAAATGGAAGGCTTGAAGATCTAAAAACAATAGCGCCCTTGTGCGGGCCCGGAAATGGTCTTCAGACTGAGGCCAGAATAATAAGAAGAAAGCACGGATGGAACATACTTCGGTTAAGTTGTCTCAGTGGATCCCAGGCAAGCCCTTATAGCAACCTTCGCAATATGGGTGTGGGTCAAAATTAAACCACCAGGGGACCACAGGTGGTAGTCCTTGGTTCCATTTACCAGGGTTCAATTTTGGGTAACCATTGTTGACCCACAGCCATATTTGGTGTTTAAATGCTGGCAAGGTCTTGGGTACCTGCTATGCAGGTGAATGGATCACTGGGAGTGGTTCCTCGCCACTTTCTGCGATACGAATTCCGATGGTGATGGCTTTGTGGATTTCAAGGGAATGGAGCCCTTCAGAAAGCGTTCCTGAACTCAAGGACTTCAATGGCTGAAAGCTGGCAAAAAATACAATTTCATTGCTAATACCTCTCACTCTCGGACCGATTCTCACCCATTCATACGTCCAACCGCGAGTTGATAGAGAGGACCCCGAAGAGAGCTAAAACAAGGATGCTAAGCCTTACCTAACTCCACAGAATGGGCTGGGGCCTATTTATCCGTCATTGTCATATCCTGTCTGTGGAAGGGCAAGGGGCGGCTATGCCCCCCCCAAATCAAGCCTTAGCGTCATTGGCTTCGGAACAAAAAGGCTTCCTAATCCCAAGAACACTTTGACTGATCCGCCACAGGAAGCCGTAGGTGTCCTTTTGGTAAACTAGATTCGGGCTTTCCTGGTAAATGGATGGCATACAACCATTCTAAACCAGTAGCTTGCCCATCTATTTCTAATACAACTAACCGATCAAAAGGACACCTACGTAGGTAGCTCTCTATTGCAGTGCTCGCAAAGCTTGCACCCGTGAAATCCGAGTGGGGACGAGCTTGCCTGAGCCGCTGCAATTGACCCGTTCCGGGGTGGATTTTGCGGAAAAACGCATTCCTTTTTGGGCTTTAGGTTAAAGGATCCATTTACCTGTATAGTAAGGGACCAAGGGAACCATCCTGTAAAACCAAAAGCTGGATACCTACCACAAGGGCTCTCCTAGGATCCACTGCAGGTCGGTTTTTTATGGACCACCCTCCAAAACAAAGGAACAAAATGGCCCGTGCTGGAGCTCTGGGCTTAACCGAATCGGGTGTTCGATTCTCAGGTTCGTAACGTTGTAACGGCAACCCTTCGGTGATAACCAACACATATCACAGGGATTCTTGCATTATACACCTGAACATTGCCTTGTAAATGGTGGTTTCCCTTTATTTTGGTGTTGAAAAAGCCACATGTAACTCAAATGGTTGCAAACTGCATCGATCTTTTCAGGAGCCCTGTATCACCTTCTCTGTAACTGGTGGTTAACCCTGTTGGTTTGGTGGCTAAGGGGTCAAACCATTTACTCGCTCCACCCGCCGGGGCTTCCAATCCCCAAACCAACTAGTAGCAGCTAAGGGTTAGCTGGCTGTGGGTCAAAACATGTACCCAAAATGGGTTGCCCTGGTAAATGGCTTGCCATGGTTTCAACCTGCGGTCCATATCCTGGTCCCATACCCAGCTGAATAGACCCAAGTCTGTGGCCGCTTAACCTTCGAAAACAAAACCGGCCGCAATCCCCAGGAACTTGGCCAAGAGCCATGGATGGCAAGCTGCGAGCCACAAATATTTCATCGAGCGAGCGGATGTTACCGCTGCGCCCAAATGCGAGTCCATGGGCGATTGGACGCGAGTGAGTGATGGGTTCCAGGGCTTCCCCAAAAGATACATCCACAAACGACTTGACTACTGGGAAGCCTCAGTTCATGAGCGGGTAATACAAAATATATGCGATATTGAACATGAACAGATACATCCTTTTGGTGTGTCATAGAGGGACACCGGTGATGGTTGTCCTTTTGGCTCCCCACACACAAACCCACCCATGCACTCACCCTGGCTCATCTTGCTGGTGCTCAGTAGGGAATGACCTTCCGAGTGTTGGGCATGAAGCTGCCAATTCGCGAATAAAGACAACCATCTGGATGGCTTGTCTTGGGGTCAAATCTCATTCCCTGCCGATCGAAGCAAGTCATTCTACGGCCGCCCAAGCACCTTCTCGCGATGCATTAAGCCGACTTCAGCGGGCTTCAAGGATACATCCAAAAACCGCCTGAATGCGCTGTGTGAAAACAAAAGTCCCAAGAAACTATAGGTTTCCTTGGTGATTTGGTTCAAACCAAGGTAAACAGGGTGGCCTCAAACAAATTGCACACCCGGGCCCGCTGGCAGCTGTATCCTTTCGGGGACCCTGCTACAGTCCAGCAGCGGAGCTAAGAAACGGTCCCAAGCCCCGGGCAAATGTTGCGGAGCCTTGGATGCTATGTCTGCCACCTTGGCCCACATCTGGGCAAGCGTGAGATTTTCAGATTCTGGCACGACATATTGTTTGGAGACCCCAGGCACCTCCTGTGAACCAACAGCTACAACAAACAAGCCTTTCTCGGAAAGACGATATCTGATCTTTGTTGTTGCCCAATTGCCAAACGCATGAATATTCAGAATGACCAGCAGCACAAACGCATGGACTTCCAACAGCTAGGCTCGGGTTTGCCAAACACAAGTAGACGGAGTGAATGAGGAAAGGGATCCAAATGCGTTTATGTTGTTTTGAGGTTTTCCGCTTTTGTTTGGGTGGCTTTCAATGAACGCAACAAGTAAAACCACCACCACTTTGTTGTTTTACTTTTTGGGGGGGGCGGGATCCGATTTCCAAAACAAGACACCCACATGAAGCATCGACATGCTGATCTAACCAGAAAATCCATCAGGTAGGCTCCGGGACTTTGCGGCTTGCTCTCACAGCCTGCCAGGCGCGAAAGCGACGGAGGCAATGCAGGTGAGAGAGATTGATGTTCTCCCCTCAGTTGCTTTCTGCTCCTGCTAAAAGTTTTTAATTTTTAGTGGTTTCATACGGAAAACCCATTGGTTGGCAAAAAGTTAAAGTCCTAACATCCAAGCAAAATGCACCAAAGTCCCCTAACGGTCCGATCTCACCCGAAGTTTCTGAAACGGGGGTGTAAAAAGTGAGGGTCCCATCAGGGCTTTGTGTGCACAACCCGACACCCGGTCGCCGCACCACACCCCGAGTTGTTTTTCTTTTTCCGGGGGGGGGGGGGGGGGGCAAAAGGCCAGATTCTGAGGCCCCGAATTCCATCAAGACCCTTAGGGTCAGGGAGCTTCCGTCAGCTTTCCAATTTGTGACTTAGCCGGATTCTGTGTCAGGGCTCTGTTCTCAGTTCAAATTCGAAGGTGTTCTAACTTGTTTGGCCCGGCGAATTTGTTCCGGACCCCGTCAAAAGAATGCACAAGACACGCCAAAAGCGACTTGCAATCTGGTTCCAAGTCCATTGGGGGCAATTGGGTTAAAGCTAACCCCGAGAACATATTTGTTTTTTAGTAGGAAACCCAAAGAGGAAACCCCTGCTTCTTGCCGGTCCCCCAAAAAAATTGGCACGGCCATATATTTCAGCCATCACTATCCTTTTCTGTTCCCTTCAGTTTGTTTAAGCCATTGTTGCCCGTGGCAATGGTCTCTGCCTCACGCTAAGGAAAAAACAAAACAAAAAAGGCCAGATGAATGGGTGAGGGTTCCTCTTGGCCGCGGAAAAGACACCTGGCTCGCTCTTAAAAAGATTATGGGCGCCTGCGGCGCCTGGCCCCAAGAAACGTCAAGGTGAAAGTAGATGGTACAGAAACAAGGGATGTCTGAAGCCTAATATTGTGGCGATGGGTCAAAAGCCAAATCGTACCCCTAGTGAACATCCCAATCCACACCAAAATAGACTAAAATGGGTGGTGCACCTACCCCAAAATGGTACCATTGGTTTTGACCCACAGCCTGGCTTCTACATTTTCAACACTGCAATCCACATGGAACCGGGTGAAGATCTCAAGGGTGACCACACAATGAATCCTGTGAAGTCACAAATTAGTGTCTGTTTTGGTGGGACCCCCGCATCTTGTGGCTGTTCTTGTAGTTCCCTCTTAAACCAACGAACAAGGGTTGCCCCAAAAAAACAAACGGAGCCACATCAAGCATGCCTTCCTAACTCCGAACTTGGCCAGGCTCCTGAGTGGCTGCCTCCTCGGTTTTCCCGATTGGACACGCACACATGTCCAAGCAATCCAGCGCACCGAAAAGGCTCCCATAAAGGCAGGGTCTCAGAAAGCTCGGAGTTGGAATCCCCGACGAATTCTTCAGTTTTCCAGTCACAAAAAAGGGACATGGAACCAAGTTGAGGGGTCAGCGCCTCAAATCCATCCTGAATTGGAGGGAGTCCCCTCGGTTTCGCAAGCGAAATTCTAAACCTAACCCCTAGTTAGGAGGGGTTTACATTTTGCAACCAAATCATTTGGCGGCCAATCTAAGAATGAATTCCCCATTCTCTTCATCGTTCACTTCAAATACCATCCAGACGTCTAGTTCATTTCAAGAGAGGGATTCGTAAATGAACATGGAAGCTGATAGACCGCCCAAAGTGTTCCGAGATTCGCCTCGCAAAATCACCCCTCTAAACATATCAAAAAACAAATTCTCAAACCGACGGAGCCATAGGTGTCCTTTTAGGGGAAATAGATGGCGCTGCTAGATGATTTTCACCACCAGGTAAACCAGGGAAACCCATCTAGTTTTCTACCAACAATCAAAAAGGACACCTATGATGAAGTGTTTGGGCGGGATTGAGCCCTAAAAAATCACCCTCTAAACATCTCCCTTCACAAATTATCAAGCCAAAGGAGCAACCGCCCCAGCGCTGAGTTGCCCCCCGCGAGCCGGCGAACCCACCTGCCCGCCTGATGCTCGTGCGCTCCCGGCTGCGCGCGCTCTCCGGGCGCTCCAGGCGCCGCGACGGCGCCAGGCGCAAGCTGTGACCGCCGTGGCCCATGCCGGGCGCCTGTGGCATGGCTCAAGAACCTCCTTGGTTGCTGTTGGCCTGCCAAAAGTTTGAACTTTTTTGGGGGGCTTAGGAGAAAACACCTAAAAAACTAGAGGACGATTGGCCCGAAAGCATTTTTCCCCAAGCGCTCTTCCAGCCGCGGAGACACCTTTTTACATCGATGCGGCGAGCGTGTCTGCACGCGGCGATGCTCCGTGTGTATGGTCACATGAGAGCTCCATCTCATCGTCCTACGAGAGGAAACATGGCAGTGTCTGCGCAAGCTGCACTGCTCCAGGCTTCTGAGCGCAAGTTGCTCTGCAAGCTGCTGCACCCAAGTGGTTCGACATCTGTCTTCAAGCTGTTCTGTGCACGTTGTGCAAGCTTCTCAGACGCTCGGCGCTTATATCCGTGCGCAAGATGCTCAGCCTGAGCTGAGCTGTGGAGGTGCTCCGCGCGCTATACGTCTGCGCTTCAGGGTTGCGATTTTCCGTTTGGAGCCGTGAGGAGCTGCCGCGCACCAGCCAGGAATCGAACCCGCGCGCGATTATTACGACAGCAGGCGCGCAAGCCACGAGACAACTTCCACAAAGGCCGTTTTTGCGAGTAATAAAATCGCAGCCAGAGTGACACGCGGCGACACGCACGATCCCCGCTGAGGGCTTGAGCTTTTGCACCTCGACCACGCCGATCCCCGCAGACGGTTCATGCGCGCACCGCAAAAACGCCCAAAAAAAAACCTCGAGTTTTTGCACATCGATCCCCGCAGAGGGTTCATGCGCGCACCGCAAGAATCGCAAAAAAAAACGAGTTTTTCCACCTCGACCACGCCGATCCCCGCAAAGGGTTGCAAACCCGATCGACGATCAAAGTCCTGCCCCGGCGCCCTAGAAAACTAAACTTAACTTACATAGCTGCTACGCCGAAGCTATGAACTTGGCTCCATGCACTTGGCTCTATATGCACTTGGCTCTATATGCGCTTGGCTCTATGCACTTGGCTCTATGCACTCGGCTCTATGCGCTCGGCTCTGTGCACTCGGCTCTATGCACTTGGCTCTATGCACTTGGCTCTGCACTTGGCTCTATGCACTTGGCTCTATGCACAGCTCTATGCACTTAACTCCATGCACTTGGCTCTATGTATTTGACTCTGCGCAAGTGACTCTATGCAAGTTGGTCCGAGAGCTCCGCGCGGAAGAACCCTTTGCGATGCTTTCGGGAAATCAACCTAAAGTGAAAGTCTAAAGATCCAACCCAATAGCAGTCAAAATGGGCTTCAATTGACCCTCCAACCTGACCAAACCCCATTTTTGTCGGAATTGGTGGGTTCATGTTGGAGAGGGTCAATCTAAAACCATCTGGACATCAGAAATACACGGGAATTGATGTGCACGGGCCATGTTTGAACATCCTTCCCCTGTAAACATCTTATCCAAGTGGGCCTGCGCTCCCTGGTTCTCTGCGGGTTTCTTGCTGCGGGTTTACTCCGGGTCTTCTGGGATTACACAGGTAGATAACTCCAGGGCCAACGCAAAATGACAGCGGCCAAACGAAGCGAAATGAGTTTAGATGCGCCTTGACAAACCAACTTGAGGACGGTTTTCGAGTCCCAAAGTGGTCTTGCTATGATTGGTAAAGAAAGTAGCTTGGAACTATACGCTTGCTCAGGCAAAAACCAAATAATCAAAATGGCGGAATTCCGCACTTCCCAGTTGGATTTCGGTGGTTTATCAACAATCGGATGTCATCCATGCCAACTGGCGCGTGTGGAATTGCAAGCATCAACAGGACCAAACTGGTTTGCCACTAAAATGATCTCCCCAAGGTTCAAAGTCCAGAAACTCAGGGAGTGAGTTCGTATGGCTGTGGGTCAAAACCAATGGTACCATTTTGGGGTAGGTGCACCACCCATTTTAGTCTATTTTGGTGTGGATTGGGATGTTACTGGGGGTACGGGATTTTGACCCATGGCCATATAACCGAATCAGCTACTGGCTGGGCTGCTTTGTGTCCTCCCTGACTCCATGTCCCATGGAGCCAGCATACTTTGGTCAACGTTCAACCCGAAACCTGCTGCGCATGGAGAAAATCCCACAAAATGCACCACCTAACCTAAGATTGATGAAACCCTGCAAACATATTTAGGATGTTTCACCACATTCAGCTGGTGCAGGGTTTCAAGCCCATCCGCAGTAGGATGCATTTACTTTTCTACCACCATCATTTGCGTGCAACGAGCTAAGATGGTACCAAACGTTGACGACCCAGTATGTGCACTTGGTTTGTAACTCGCCAACCCTGAAAATATGAGTTGGTACACGTGGTTCATCAACCCAACATGTGATGTCTGGCACGTTAGGCAGGTTGCCAACAGCAGAAAAGAGAAACAACAACAAAATACAAGATGCGCCACGGGCACTGTTGCTTGGGCGACCATACCTACCACTCTCCGTCAGGCTAAGGTGCCACACGAACCCCTCATCCTAAGAATCAACTTACACCAAATGGAGATTCCACACCTCTAGGCCGCTGGATGGCTTTTGGGGTATGCAGGTTGGCACTTGGAGTAGGCGCAGGTAACCGCAGGTGCCAAACATTTCAGATGAGGAGGTGACTCACTTGACTGCCATTGTCATCCAAGAGAAGAAGACATCTGCGCAAACTGCAACAGGGCCATGAGCTTGGCTAGGTGTCATTTGCCCAGACCTTTATACGCTGATATGGGTGTCTTTTTTTCGGGCACCCCCCAAAAAAAATGGTGGCATTCCTGGTGGTTTCTCTTTACAAAAAAACACCCTCCAACAAATACCCATATAAACTCCAAGTGCTGTCCACCATGGATTAATCAAGCTGTCAGATTCATAGAGCATTCCCGAAAAAATGATGCGGAGTGTCTCTGAAATGGGAACATCTAAATCCACCATGAGTCTTCTTCATCACGGGCGAAGCTGATTCACAAGGGGACCCTGTCTTGGTGTCCACTCGTGGTACAGTTGATGTTGTGAAAGGTGCAAAGGATTTCTGCCTTTGGTTTTTTGCTCTTGTTTCAACAAAAACAATATTGTTGGATGTGTTTTTTTGTTTTTTCCTTCCTCCAACCAAACTCCTTGGCTATTCCCCACATAAACCGCCATTTGGGGTGAGGTCGTGTGAGGTCGTTAATTCCCCCGGCACCAAACATTAAAAATGGTCATGGGGGCTGGGGGGGAGGGCGGGGGAGCTCTTAATAAGCCCTGAAGAAGGTTTTATTCAAGGCTTTGGGCCCCTTTCCCAAGTGTGGGGGTGGGGTTTGTGGGGGTGGGGTTTTGTTTGGCTTTGAGGTTTGGGGTTAAATCTTCAATTTCTACCTGTTAATTTAATCAATAGGGTGTCTGGGGACTTTTCGTAAAATGTCTCAATAGTTCTATGAATATTAACCTTAAATGAGTTCTTCTTGTAAAAGAGTATATACAATAAATATTTTATGACTCGACATCAACCGTTATGTTTTGTGTGGTGGTGAGTAACACAATGGAACAGCTGCTGTCATCGCTTCACTCATAAGCATTGAAGATCATTAGCGTTGAGCTGGTTTCACACCTCGCCAGAGGCTTGCGTGCCACTCCACACCGCTTATGTGTCCAGCGTGAAGAACCCCATTGCCGGCCTCATGAGATGAATCATTGATGTATCTAATCATTAAATATGGAGAGACGTGAATCAGATTCTATTGATATAATGAATGTTGAGCAAGAAATAACAAGCGATAATAAAATACAAGCATGCTGCTGCTATTCCTTAGAACCAATAAGATTATGTGTTCAACAGCACACACACAAACAATATATATATATATATGGACAAAAAGAACAACCAAACAAAAACGAGTTCGTGCGGTTATTCAACAGTAGAAGCAGACAAATAAGAAACATGTAAACAAATTGAAATTTAAACCCCAAATCTTGAAACCCTACCCCCACACCCCCCTAATTCACACCCCCCCCCCCCTCTCCCCCCCAGCGCCCCAAGAAAGAGCTCAAGCTAATACCGGCCCGGGCCTGCGGGGCATAATAGGCCGCAATGCTGCGCGTGGAGCCATCCAGGCTGCCTAGCCCAAAAAAGAACTCAGCATCTGAGGCCACTGCTCAGGCGGGCTCCGTGCTGGCTTTTTTGATTTCACCGCTTTTTTGTCGACTGAGCGGTCATGAGGACCATCGGTGCAAACAACCTGGAAATTCAGCATGGCTGCTTTGCTTGCAGAGGGAGGCAGGGGCAGGGTGGGAGGGGGGAAATGGGTGTAAGGGGTGGGCCCTGGTAAAGGGAAACAGGGAGTCCAACCTGCGGTGGCAGTGTAATTTTGACCTAGACCCAAATGGTCTTCCCAAAAGCAACAATATAAAGTCTAGGAACTTGAATCGCTCTTAAAAAAGAACGCCAATCACTTGATTGGTTTGTCTCGATAATCTGAACGACTTGTATACAAAAGCACCAAACAATGCAAGACGATGTGTGGTACCCAGTATAGTGGTATCTGACAAACATCTGCTAGGCCTGGTACATTGTCTAAACATGGCGGACATAAGTTTGGGCCACGACCCAGAGGGCACATTAAAAACAAAAAAAACACATTAATACAGGTTCCCCTACTTGAATGTTCGATCCGCCAAGTTAGTGTCTGTGGTTGGCCACTTGAGTTGTTCACACCCTGATAACAAGGTTAATCCCACTGAACAAGGCACCTATACGTGAGCCACCTGGAACAAAACATGTCCAGTGAAAGATTCCCTTGAAAACCAACCGGGAAAAAGTAGAACATATTCCTTTCAGCGAATAGGGGGCTGTTGTGTGTTTGATGGATTTGCGCCATTTGTCTCCAAAACCGTCCTTTTGGGGTTAAATCCACCAGCAATGGGGTTGGATCGGCCAGTTCTACAACCTTTGGCGGTTCCAGGACTCCCTCTACCCTATCCCCCTTGAGTGATTCTAGGAACCCATTGAATTCAAAAAACTATTTCACGCTTGGTGGTTTTACTGGCTAGGCTTTTGCTTAAGAAAATGGAAGCTTTAAACATATTCTTCAGCAAATGGGAAAATAGAACATATTCCTTTCAGCAAATCGAAGCAACCAGAGCCTTTCCCACATTTCCCCCCCAAAGAGGGGCTCTAGGCCATAGACTCATCTCTTTGCGGACGGCTCCTCTCAGACTCTCCCCCCTTCTCGGTTTGCAAAGCCGCCCTCGGACGTCCGCACCTGGCGTCATGGTCCAGAAGCCGCTCGCCACGGGCCCTGGTAGATGCGAAGCTGAGGAAATAGCGCAGGTGGCTGTGTCTTTGAAAGACCCCCCCGAAAACAGAACAAATGATAGAGAAAAAGCACATCATGATGTAAAACAAAATCCTGACAATTGTGAAATGTATTAAACACATATTTTGTTTGAAGCTTTCTCCAACACGAGCTTCAGTTTTTTGGGACACACTCCAAAATTTCCAGCCAAGAAGGTGCTGAAAACTAATGGGTCGAAATTGGTTTCCAAAAAATAACCCAACAAAGACATCCATGAATCTCCGAACTGGGCTTGCTTTGCCCCAACATGACAAGGGGACCTGCCAAAAAAAGGAAGTGGCGAAGCCCGGCCTGGCCTTGGGGTCACTTGGGTCTTCAATTCGCCAAGTACGTTGGAACGGCAACCCTTCGGTTATAACCCACTCATAATTCCCCCCGTGAATGTGGGATTATCTTTTTTTGGGGTAAACAACATCTGGTGCATCGAACATGACAACTCGCGGCCATTCAAGAAACGAGTCTCTTTGACCTCTTGAAAAGGAGGTAACCCCCGCAGGGGAGACAATACCATGCACAAAATCCACAAACCGCACCAGCTCGAGTTGGTGGACAATCCCATTATATGTGTAGCACGGCTTCATCATCTCAGATGGTGCAGGAGTTTGTCCATCCACAGCGTGGGGTTATGTATCTAGAATCAAAGCATATAGCTCATGCACCCAGTGTTTGGGTAGTAGCGTCCAAAACAGAAGCAGGGGGTTGATTAGAAGGCAAACCAAAGGGAAACCACTTATTCTGGGGGGTTAGCCAAAAGAGAAGCCCAAATCCTGTGACCTTTTAAGCACATTGAACAAAAAACCATATAAACAGACCATCCGGCCAAGGGAACCAGCCTACATGTCCAATGTCTGTCCTGGTTTGAGGTGGGTCCGAAGAGTTCACGTGATATGCCTTCCCGTTGCCACATTTGCAGCATGGAATCAACCAAGGAAGAATCGAACAACGCGAACTCCTTGGAGAGAAGGTGACCCACAACTATGGTAGCTGGGATCCACTGGGAAGGTTTGTGAGGAGATAGGTTTTTGAGGACCGAGTCTAGATCCAAGCGAGCGTGCTCCGATTTCCGCGTGATCTGGAAACATGTCACGAGCGCAGGTTGCCTCAAACAGCTGGAAAATTCCTTCCTTGGAAACGTCTCTTTGCAACCCTTGCCAGGGTAGCAACAAACTGACTGTTTTCTCAGCCCCCTACTAAACATGAACAGAACTGAACAAAGCACAACAACTCAACACTTGCCAACAATGCTGAAGGTCATTTTGTTCAAATGAAATGTGTCTGAGTGGATGGCCAAGAAAAGTCCAACAATTGTTTATTTTTCCCCGGAAATGGTCTTTTCAAAAACGTGCCTAAAGTGCAGGAACGTCATGAAGTAACTCTTTTGACTGTGCCCAGTTTTTTTTGGGGCGGGGGTTGCCCTAACACAAGACCCCGGTTCACAACGAAATGTGGGCCGAAGCCCGAGAATTCTCCAGGCTTGACGCGGCTGGGCTTCAGACCGAAGTTGCGTGCACGAGCATCGGAAGGGCCTTAGGCAAGTTCAGGGCTTTAGGGCTTTAGGGCGAATTAGCCCGGAGTTGGTTGAGAAAGCCACTCTATTGAGGCTCATATTTGGGTCGCTTTGTCAAAATAACTGCGAGAGAAGATCCAGGGGCACATCCCCAAAGGTCCACAATGTCCCTGACTGCAAGTGGGTGTGTGTTCTTGTTCAGAGTAACCAAGGGTCCACGTCCCACTTCCAGACACATCTGCATGTGAGTTCGGATTTGTCCGAACTTGAGACCAAATTGGTGTTTCCTTGATTTTCCTGTTGGGCAAAACAATCCACAAACAAGATACCCACATCGGAAATGTAACCACAAAACACATCCAGCAGTCTTGCCAGAAATTGGGGCAACAACAAAAAGCAACGGGGCTCCGAACAAAGACCGGGAATGGTTCAAACATTACCCGGTCTCTGACTTTGGCTTGCAAGTCGGAAGTTGATTTGTTGTTGTCTTGGTCCTTGCCTTCTAACCAGTCACTGCTTAGTAACTTAGACATCGTGAAGACGAACACATATATATATATATATGGGTTTGTCTTTTCTGACGATACCCTATTTGGAGGGGTTTAGAGGGAAACCAACGGGAAACCGGCTTGGAGGGTTCCCGTATTTCAATCAAACCCGATTTTCGACAAATCGAGCGTGGTGTACAATTCCTTGATCCCATATATATATATATGTCGTTTATCATGCGGTATTCTCATGGGTCAAAGAAAGGTGCACTCAATCTGGGTGAATTATAATATGTCACCAACCTGAAATAAGGTGGTTGGGGGGCTATTCCCCACATAAACCACCATTTGGGGTGAGGTCGTTATAGTTCACCCAGACTCAACAGACATCCTTGGACAGAAACGACGGAGTGGGACCTACGTTTTTTTGTGGAAGTTTGGAGCTCGATCGCCCAATGCCTCCCCTCCCAGCCCCCAAAAACTTGAAGGACCGTCATATTCGAACCCGGGTATATACCTTGAGAAGCTGTTCTGCTTCAAGCGGTAAAGGGGCAATCATGGGCAATCGGGTTCTTAGTAAGTGGCAAGTGAGCCTGGTGAAACAGCGCACTGAACGGAGACTGAAAAAAACAAACATGGCCTTTGTAGGTTCTCTCACCATGGTTACCCTCCCACCAACTAACATGGAAGTGCGCAAGGCCCCTTTCCAAGAGTCGAAAGTACGTCTTTCTTTGGGGGTCTGTGCACTTTTCCATGTTCGTTGGGGTATTGCAACCACTTACCTGACATACCGAATCCATGGCCCTCTGACTTCTGCGTGCGCGCCTGGTCTCCAAGGTGATGCCATGCGAGCCTCAAGACGCAAGCTCAAGGTCTCGGAGATCCCAAAGGCGGGGGTTGAGTCTGGGAAAATGGAGAAAACATACTGTGGATGGACGAAATCCATTTCGCACCACCTAAGAAACCATGGTTGAAACCATTGTTTGTTGGTATTTACATTGGAAACATCATGCCAGGGTTTCTTAGGTGGTGCAGGATTTCGTCCATCCCACAGTATCACGGCTGGATGCCAGATTGGTCAGCCGCCCAAAAACAGAAGAAGTCGCTTGTATTGGTGAGGTTTCTCCGCTCCCCTTTGCCCTCAAATTCCCAGACGTTGAATCCAGACCAACTAAGAGCTATCCGATATGATGCTACTCCCGCCGAAGAAAAGAACAAATAAGACAAAGCGGTAAACCCTTCTTCGGTCGTATGTTTTTTGTGACCTCCAGCCGTATTCCTCCCATTGACATGGTACCTGTGAGAGGCAGCTGAAAGATAACTTTCGTCTTGGAGGGACCCCCTGTCAGATGCCACGCAACGTGGAAGAAAGGGGAGGCTTTGAGCGTGAGTTCTTTGGGGCGGCATCTGAGTCCGCAACTTTGTAAACGAGATCGAACCAATCCCGCGACATCACCAGGGAGCTCGGGCCCCATTTCCGGACATTATGAATTCGCCTCGCCAACCCTAACCAAGCAACCCCATAGGAACGCCTCCCATGGGTTGTTGATTTCACCCCCGCCTCGGAAATCTGGTCGCGTGGGCATGTGCACTCAAACCGAAATCTGCTGAGCAGTGAAACCCGAGCTGCCGGCAGCAGCCAATGAAGTTGCCTATACACTTGAGCAGATCAACAAGGAACCCGGAAAATCACGATTAGAGAAATCCTCCCCTTTTAGGTTCCACGCCTTTTCAGCAGGGGATTCAATAACGCATATGTTCGCCCCATCCCTGGTGATTGCCCGTAGAGGTACAGCGCTTTTGTTTAAGGAACCCAGTGGATCCCAGCCATTGCCCTCAGCTATGTGCCTTTTTGGTTTTAATGGCTGGCAAGGTCTTGGGTGGCTACAATGGATCCACTGGAAAGGGAATTTCCCACCAAAAACACTACGGGCCATAGGAGAAGGGTGCCTTATAATGTTGACCCAGGATCTAAGTAGAACCCGTCCCATTATTAGGGGGGTGGAGGCCCCTCCAAAAGTGGTCTGAATCTAACCACTAAAAGGAATTGGACACCCCCCAATCTTTGAATCAACCAGGGATTTATTACTCCGGGGTTAACATTACCAGGTCACCAGCTATGTTTCTTTTGGGCTTTAATGGCTGGCAAGCCCTTGGGTACCGGACAATTAATCCCACCAAGCCCATAGGAGAAGGGTGCCTCAGGGCAACGCAGAGTTCATGGTTTGCTTGCAATGGAGCAGCAACAGCCGGTGGCCTGCCGAGTCTTCAAAGTTGGGCTTTGGGACCCATGTTGTTTAAGGGAAAATCTAAAGAGTGACCTACCGTTGGGAAGGACTCGACTTCCAGCGCAATGGTCTCAAAATCACGGTTGGCCCGAGAAGTTGTTGCCATGGGGATGCTTTGGAGTCCCTCAGGGACTTGACAAGTCCAGCTTGCCAAAACTGGTGCTATCTAGGTCCTCCAGTAGAGAGCTTAGAATAAGGGTACCCTGTTTTCTCTAGTCTATTTTAGTAAGGGAACGGGCAAAAGGGCACTACTGGGGGACCTAGCTATGTTGAAGACGAGCCACGGGTGACTCAGCTTTTGTTCTCAGCTTGCCTCCCAGTGGTTTGGGTGCGTGGTGGCTGGTGTTCCACTCACCCCCTACACAAATTTGCTGCTGGGTACGCTTCTGGGGTAAGCTGAGATCGTCAACCTCACAACACTCACCCATTGAGCTGCCGCGCTGTTTGCACTTCTCGACTCCCCGGAGGGGACACGGTCCTGACCAAGTCGCTTGTGCAACTGACAAATGCGAACCGCACCAGCACCAGCACATCTACAGTCCTCAGGGCACCATCGTCGTCGTAGGAATCATCATCATCATCATCATCATCATCATCATCATCATCATCATCATCATCAGCATCATCATCATCAGCATCATCATCATCATCATCAGCATCATCATCATCATCATCAGCATTATCGTCATCGTCATCATCATCATCATCATCATCATCATCATCATCATAATAATCATCATCACCATCACCATCACCATCACCATCACCATCACCATCACCGTCACCATCATCATCATCATCATCATCATCATCATCATCATCATCATCATCATCATCATCATCATCATCATCATCATCATCATCACCATCACCATCACCATCACCATCACCATCACCATCACCATCACCATCACCATCACCATCACCATCATCATCATCATCACCATCACCACCATCACCACCATCATCATCGCCATCGCCATCGCCATCATCAGGAGCAGCCGCCTAATCATGGGAAGAATGATATTGAAAATAACGCCATCGCTGATGCTTTGCTTGAAACAAAAGCATGAAACAAAAGCAAGGGAGGATTTGCTTGACTCTGCACGAGTCAGGCTTGGGCCACTGACACTGTCCCCAAGGCTGCCGCTCGTTGGGGGTCCTTCCGACATGAAAGTCCCGTCAGAAGGAGAACCAAAGGGAAACGAGTTGCGAACGCAGCAATATGCTTTTGATAACTGGGGTCCCAATTTGAGGGGTCATCACATGTCTGGCTTCATATCCGACTCGCCAGGTCCTACCTCCTAAAGCGCAACCCCTTCAAAACCATCCTCATAGTGTACACATTTCACCATGGTTTGTTTCATGAACCCCTGACGAAAAGGGATCCCCCCATTTCAGGGGTTCCCACACAGTTGAGCCCCCAAAACCCATTGACTCCCTTTGTTCCACACGCTTCCGGCCCCACCTTCTGGACTGGCCAAACAAATCGTCTTGGGGTGCGAGCAGCTCGGGGTTACCAGTCCTCGCGTTGCCGATCTGGGAGGACACCAACATGGAAGAGGCCCTCGGCGGTGACAGCGTCTTTCGCTGTAAGCCTCAGGCATTGGGCTCCGAGCCCCTGGAACCGAAGCTCGAAAGGCGAAAGCCCCAAACCACCCCGAACCAGCCGATGTTTGTTTGCAGACCCCATAACTTTCAGCTGTTAGGAGGAAAATCAGATCAGAGTCTGTCCCATATCTTTCCAACCCCTTGGTATGGTAGCAGAAAACTGATCGTTGGTTGCAGCCCCTTATGAAAAAAGAAGAGAAACCCAAAAAACACAAAAAGCTACGAGCATGGCAACAACGGTGATGATATACTCAGATGACTTCCCATTGGTGCTTTGGAGTGGTGGTTCGGAGGTGTTTCGGGGGTCGCTTCCCATTTACCCTCTACGAAACCCAGGGGTTCAAATCCCCGAAGCACAAATCCACAAAAACCAAGTAAGGGGTACAAGAAAACAGCCCTCCCTTCCCCCACAAAAAAAAAGTCCGTGTTGGTTGTCCTTCAAACTAATGTGAAAGGGATGCCCTGAACAAGAACACATCGCTTGTCAAAACCAGCCAAACCAAATAATCTGCGTTGCTTTTAGTGGGTATGTGGCCAATTTCCTACAATTCCTGTAGCTGGTTTCTATGATACTTAGATTGTCGGGGGGGGGGATAGCGTAATGGTTGGCAAGACAGCAAAATTATTAAAGTTGAGTGTTGTCGGTAGATAAGGTCCCCATTCTGCGCGCACACACACACACACACATTTCGTGGATATATATATATATATATACAGATACATGCTTGAACGAGGGGATGATCCTCGGCCAAAACAGTGGTGACCCATCCCTACAAAACAGAGATTTGATCCCCGAGACCAATTGGGTCCAGAGTGCGGCCTGGGAATTCATGACTTCCTCTGAGAGGTTTTCTGCAGCTCTTCCTGTTTCGGTTTCGCCGGGGGTCCTTCTGCTCGAATCCCTGAAGACCCCGGCCACGCGTACTAGCTGCCTTCTGGGAGGAAGTGGCCACTTGCAACAACAGGATACCCGATGCTCCCACTCCGTAAGTTTGATCCCTTGAAAGTTGAATGGACCAACGTGTTGGAGACTCGCAAAACATGAAACGCATTCCCTGTCACGTCAAGCTACCAGCTGATTTGCAGACTTTCACTCGCGAGAACATGTAACTGGACGACAGAACCACCAAAGCACTCTCTGCTGCCTAACAAATATTGGCCTCATCCAAGAGTTGCATCCCTTCACTTTGCCCCATTAACCCATGTAGTAGGCAACCAAGGGAACCACCCTTTAACAACCAAGAAGAACATGGTTGGCCGCCAGTGGCCTGCCTGGCATCTGGGTTTTGGATGAACACCACGACTCAGCGCTACACGCGCTACCATTGCAAACAACGGGTCGTGCAACAAAAAAAGGCAAAAGGCCAGGCTCAGGGCAGCTTCCAGCTCAAAGGCGGCGAAACAACGATGGCAATAGCCTGACTGGTGGTCAAACATATGGTTACCCTTTTTGGGACGGTACGTGCCGCCTTTTAAAGGGGATACTGAAACTTGGGCCCTTGCTTCTGACAAACCTTCAGATGGGCAACTGTCGGGTGACCGTGAAAACTCTCCTAACTAGGTCTCTAGAAACTGGGTTTAAGGCCCGAAAAAAGGCCCCAACAGTTCCCCTTGGCACTATTGACGATTTCAGATTGAAAATCTCTGCCAAACTGGATCTCAAAAAGCCGGCCAAGTTCTTCCCTGGATACTCGTTCATTAAAGACCTTTTGCTCAAACAAGGGTCTTTCTGAGGGTAGCGTCCCTTTCCATTCTTTCCAGGGATCCGGATCTTCTCTAGAAAACCTCGTTAGAAACCCAGGTTGAAAGGGTCTTACTCTTTGCAAGGGTCCCATGCTTGGTCAACGCCCAATGACCATCTTGGCCCATGCCGAGCGGCACATGGATCCTGGAACCACCTGCGAGCGGTTAGATCTGTGCCAACAGTTGTCCGGCAACTGGGAACACAGGATTCACACACCCCTGGTACATGGGGGTTCAACCACTTCAGAGTACCCGCCCATGCAAGGTCATCAATGTAAGCTCGGAAGCCTTGGTGTTGGAAATTGTGCTGGGACCCTGGGAACCTCCTCACTTTTTTTTGCAGCAGCGGGGGTGCTGTCAGTGCAAGCAGGAGCACATGCTGAGTCAGGGAATCTACATCTCAGATCTCATCTGACAAAGCCAAGAAAGAGCACGCGCGATACGGAAGAAAACATTCATACTGGACCTAGTACCCTCAGATTCTGTTTCACATTCCGTGAACCATGGCTTGAAAGCAACACCAGAAGGAATAAACCATTCTCTTGTTGGAGCTAAAAAATACACACACTCCAAACACCCCAAACGCGCAATCGTTTTGGAGATCCTAAAGGGCTCCTTTCTCTTTCCCCTGCCTGCGTACTGCCACGCCAGGTTCCTAAGCCGAGGTCGGCTCCGGTGCTTTTCTTTGTGCCGACTTGGTTCCTGATTTCTGGTAAACATGTTTCGCTTCCCGAATGGATGGCCCCGAAAAAGCGAAAAACAAACTTGGCTCCTACCACTAAACTGGCAACCAAACCCAAAAAGTGAAACCAAAGTCCGAAACGGAACTCAGAAAGTGACATACTCTATAGACCTCAAAAGTTTCCCTCACGGCTACATGTTTCTCGAAGTAGCAAGAACTGAAAGCTGTGTCCGCGGACCAGCAAAAATATGGAAAAACAACCCGAAGTTGCTTGGTTGCATTTTGCCTTTGAGCCCCCTTTAGTTGACAAATCACGAAGCCCAGCAACATGTTGACACCTTTTTGTGGGTGTGTGGGTCCTACATGCTCCCACATGCTTACCCTCCGACAAACAACCTTCCCTGTTCTTGAATTTGCCTTGCTTGTTATCTTTTCTATTTTTACCAGTAAAATGCACATGAATTGCGGCCAATTTTGTCTGGGTGTCCTTCAAGGGACCTCCAAGAAAACGCAAAAGCCAAGGGAACCACCACTCGGGCACGTCACCTACAGTACCATAACCGTCCTGGCAAGCCAAACAAATTCAATGGCCAAGAATGTTCTATGGTCAAGTTGGCAGTTTCAGGTATAAGTACGGAGGGTATATACCACTTGTATATATATATATATATATCGGCTACATACAGCCTTTCAGGCTTATATTGGTGGCATGAAAGCATCTACCTCCAAAACCAATTCCTAGAAATGCCCTTGATATGGTGGCTCCCTTCGGTTTCAATGGCCAATTTCAAACATGGAACCAACGTGGTTGGTGGACATGAATAACCACCTATATGTGGGGGGTTTGCTTTTGGTTCCAACCAATCAACCCCAAAACGGGTACCCCCAAAGCACCGATAGCCTGTAGTTCGCAGCCGATGGCACACCGGGATTGCATGGGCCCACCACAGGGTCACTTACCCCGATAGTCCCAGAGAAATACAACGCATTCCACTCGTGGGTTCCATGGAAGCACAGATGTAGACAATTGCTTTTGGTTGTGCATCCCCATTCGGGTGAATTGGGGGGGGAAATGTGCATTTTCCTGGAATGCCCTGCCCATCGGAACCCGACATTGAACAGATATTGGGCGGATCAATTTACACGTGCTTCCCAACTAAACGATCGCCACTTTTGGAGGTTAAGGCCTATGGCTCGGACCAAGTTCAAGTGGCCCAATGGCTTCCCTTTGCCCAAAGGAACCTGGGTCTCGGCCAGAGGAACTGCCGAGACGCGGCCCGGCTCAGAGCTGGTGGACATGAGCTCCGCCTGGCTGGAAATTGGGCCAAACTCGCATCCGATCCAGTGAGTTGATCAGAAAGAACGAGGAAATTAAGCTAAAAAGGACACCTATGGTGAGTTGGCAGATTGGGTGACCCCTATAATGCATTCTTTTTGGGAACTGTTCTTGGCCAAACATGGCAACCCAACACCAAAAGTGACTGAAGTCCAAGAACTCGGGGAGTGAGACAAATGCAAGAGGGCAAGTTGCTCTTCAGCAGCCAAAAGAAGGGATTCCAACGAAAGAAACCTTCGTGACGTCATTCCTCCCATAAGGAACGTGACAAAATATGAGTAATGCCCGGTCACAGGCGTCACCTCGACCTCCCAGACCAGTCGTGGGCTGCAGGCTGTGTTTTGACCGTCAAAACATGGCAAACCCCTCCAAAAACCAGAAATGCTCCACGGGTCCGGAAGGAAAACCACTGAAGCAAGCACCGATTCATAACATGATGATCCCTCAAGAAACAAACCACTGGCCTGACTTCAGTCACAAGACCCGGTCCTAATGGTGTCCACCGCAGACAAAACAAATTAAAGATATGGCTGTGAAACTTACTGTGGATGGGCAAAATCGCTTCGCGCCATTTGAAACCAGAAGGTTGGCGGTTAGGTGGTGCAAACGGATTTCGTCCGTCCACAGTAGGAAGCCCCCTCGAGAGTGGTTGGAGGACATGAAAATCCACCTACATGGTGTCCACCAGTTTGGGTCCCTTAAATGAAAACTCAGACACGGAAAGAGAAGGCCGCAGCCATTCCTGACTGGGACTCCACCATGCTGTGATCTTCCCAGCGTGCAAAACAGGCCTCTTTCATTTAAACATAGAGGAGCAGCCAGTAGTGATAGATCACCATTCAACCAAGAGGGAAAGACAAACACAGATCCATTTCAGCAAATGAGCCACGAGAAAACTATCCCTAAAGTATCCCTAAGCTTCATCTGGCCAGGGGTCAAAATCCCGTACCCCCAGTGAACATACCAATCCCCACTACAATAAACTAAAACGGGTGGTGCACCGAAAACCCCAAAATGGGATCCCAAAACGTTTTTGCCAAACACAGCCATCTTACCGAATCGGTTTTGAGGTCCTCCAGTAGAGAGGTTAGAATCAGGGTACCAACTTCATGTAGTCGATTCTAGTAGGGGAACTCTCCCAACCAAAAAAGAAACGGTGAGAAAGGGCACCAATTGCTGGGGGACCGAATCGGTTTTGAGGACCTACCTCAAAGGTTCGCTTCCAGGTCCTGGAGGTGTCGGCTGGAATTTTCCTGACCCCAAAGGCTCCAATTCGATTGACGGGCCTTCAAACAACCTGGTTTTGAGACCCCCAACCACCTCCGGGGTGTCTAGGGGTCGGGTCTTCCATAGCCCCAGAAGGCTCTGGGACCCAAACAAATTGCCCCCCCGGACGAGTCACTCGGAACTCGCGAGCGGGCGAAGGCGCGGGAGTGGCCTTCTTGTCCAAGAGGCCGCATGTGAAGAGACCTAGGCCCAACTCCCCTTGAAAAGACTCCACTTCGGGCTGGCTTTTGCTTAAGTCCACTGGGTAAACTAAACATTCCGGTGATGGATTCCCCTTAAAACCAACAGCAGAAAACAACAACATATTCTAGAGGCAATGGAAGTTTTCTTTAGGTTGAGCCGGTTGAGCCCCAAAAAAATGGCCTCGCTCCTTTCGGCTTCTCTTCAAAACCACCGGCCCTTGCTGGGGATGGCCCGTCCAATGCCGGGATTTCAGCTCAGGATGGAAAGGTTCAAATGCCCCTCAGATTCACATGGAATCCATGACCGAAAAACCCCAAAAGAAGATTCCTCAAACAAAAGCTGTGGGGTCCGTGTGGAAGTGTTGTTTATTTAGGGGAACCCTCCAAAATTGTGGCTTTCCTCTTGGTGTCCCTTTAAAAACACCAACAAGAGCTACCCTCAAAAAAATGACACAGTCCGAAAAGATGCTCAAAGAACATCAGGGCTTACATATAGATCAGCATCTGAAGGGTGACATGCGCAGCGCTTCATGAACGACGATGACCAGTAAACAAATACCTTCCCCTCCGTAACTCCGGTGTCATTTCACCAAAACAATGCAAGCTTCAAGCACGCAAAACAATCCGCAAACTCATGACATTGTGTGCCTGGACCTTCAAACTCCGGCAAATTTCTGGGTGTTTTAGTAGACCCCTACGATTTACCGAATTTTAGTGGTTTAGCACATTTGGGGCAAAAACTCATACGATTTGCGTGGTTTCCAGTCGCGCATTGGCCATAGAAAGCAAATACACCTCGCAGCACTGGCCAACGTGCCAATAAACACCATAAAATGCCTTGATCATTCAAAACTACGACTTTCTTGATTTGCGGGAGTTTGCGGGTTTTTGCGGGAGATTTGCGGAAATTTGCGGGCGTTTTGCGGTCAAAATGGGTACGTTTTTTCTGCACCGCACAACTTTGGACCGCCGTTGCAGGCTTTGACAAACTTGCGGGCTGCATCAAGCCGTTTATCCCTCAAAGCTTCCTTTAATCAGTGCAATAGTGTGCTTTTTAGGAGTTTTAGGAGTTTCCGGTTTTTGCGGCAAAAAGTGCTACGATTTCCCGAACATCCAGTCAAAGGCGGAAACTGCGTTTTTTTTTTTTTTTCAGGAGAACGAAGGTCCAGGTGTACATGTTTTGGGAGTTCGGGGGTCCGAGCTCAATTCTTCCTTTGCCACCAACATGGTACAAACCCAAAACAGTTCAAGGACAAAAAGTCACCGACCTTGTCCTTGGCCGCCAAAATGGTCCAAACCCAAAAAGCGACCACCTAAAGTCTCCATAACCCTTAAAACATGGGTCCATGACCCCATTTTTTAAGGGTCATGGAGACTCCAGGGCAGTAAAACGATCGCAGGGAGTGAGCGGTTGACTCTCCTTCTCTGCGTCCGGGCTTGCGCTCGTCAGCGCGCTGGGTCCTGGCCATCGATGACGATGGCACAAACATACGCCACACAAAGAGTTCTAGGGGTTTGTTTGTTTTGTATGTTTGTTTGCTTGGTTGCATGGTTGCTTGGTTTGCTTGGTTCCCTTGTTTTCTGGTCCCACTCTTTGCCTTCGAATGAAGAGCCCCTGTTTCCCCCGGCGCAGCCATTGGGGGCGGGGGTTGGAGCAAAGGAAAACCGTTTGCTCAAACAAGGATCTTTCTGAGGGTAGCTTCCCTTTCCATTCTTTCCAGGGATCCGGATCTTTCTAGAAAACCTCGTTAGAAACCCAGGTTGAAAACGGCCAGGTTTTGAAAAGAACGATGGTTGAAAAGAATAGGAAAGCATCCCCGTACCATAAACAGAAACAAGCAAGATGCGAAAAGATGAACACAAACACAATCAGCACACACAACCAGCACACACGCACAGACACGCGCGCAAAGACAATATGCGAAGACACCAACGCAGCAATAGCAAACACGCGGAAACAATCAAGCCACCATGCCAAAGCAGCCAAGCAGTCAATTCAAAACGTAGCTGGGTTGAAGGCAAACCAAGAGGCGCATATATGGTTCTGATCTACATCCCCACCCCTAACTGGAAATATGTAGTTGGTATGAGCATGTACTTGATCTACCTGGACCCTCAAACTACCATTAATCATTAAACCAAAACTATAACAACACATGATATCGGTGCGATGTCGACATGTTTGAGGGTAGTTCGAATCAAGAACAAATCGATCAAACCTCTATAAGCTCATGCAAATCCCTCCTGCAGCTGGCGTCGTCCTTGCCAGAGGGTCCGACCTCGGGTTCGCCCTTTACCGAAATTGTATCTGCTGCAGCCAATTATGCAGGTTTTTCGGTTTGTCTCAAGATACGTCCTTTCCTTCCAAAGGCCATCAAAATCACCCGCAGGCGGTATCAACGGAACTTTGCTGCCGGAACCCTCCCTTCAAACTGCCCCAGGCTCCCAAGCGAATTATTGCGCAACGATGGCTTTCAGCTCGGGAAAAGCACGAGTAGCCACCGAAAGGATGCGAAGAGGGGGGAGGTGGAGAAGTCACCTCAAACACCTGAGGATCCGGTCGCTTCAGCTCATAAAGCTGTGGGTGGCTCGTCATTTTGTTGGGGTTAGTACCCTTGATTGAATGGCTTTAAAGGGGGCCCAAAGTCTGAAACCCTCGAGGACCGGGCCAGCCCACTCACAACAAACTTCTTTTTTTGTGGGCACTGCAGAAGCTACTTCTGACAGGTGTCACCCACACGGAATAAAGGGCGTCACCCCAAACAGAAAAAAACAAAAGTTTTGAAAGCCCGTCCTCAAACGTGAGTTCTGTTCACAATGATCCTTCCTCCTGAAAAAAACACGTGAAAAGATCGTGCCATGTCAACCTGCATCCATTTGTCAGTCATAACCCTTTGAAACAAAATACACAAAAACATAAGCCCAGGTGGCATTCCCAATAGCATTCCCAATAGCACCCCCCCAGAACCGTAGCCCAAAGCTCCATTCACCACTCCGGAGCCTATCTGGGCCTATCGACCTCATGGCTTCCAGCTGGTTGGTGAATATCTTGCTCAGCCAGCGTGTGTGTGTGTGTACGTACGTACGTACGTATGTGTATGTGTGAGGGTACCCTTTTGGAGGGTTGTTTAAAGGGAAACCAAAAAGAAACCGCCAGTGTGAAAGTCTCCGATTTTCACACATACTCATTTGCCCTTGCGCAACCCGCGAATTGGGCGCCCTGCAATTTGTCGCCGCTCAGCGCAGCCTGTGCCCATGTGGCAGCTATGTCGTAAGTAGGGTCAATAAGCGAGACATGAAGAAGGTGGCTTGTCCTTTCTTGACAGTCCTATCAGAAGTCCTATCCTACTTAATCGTTGGCAGGCTGTACCATTGTAACATATCATAACATGTTCATCCCTCTTGTAAATAGGACATTGCAAGGGCTGCCTGCGCAACAACAGTTGAAGACAAATCCTGCGCGTAGCCTTATATCAGAGCCTAAAAAAAAGAGTAAAGGGATCCACCAAATCCTGCGCGTAACCTATATCAAAGCAAATATTTTTATGTCTTTTTTTTTTTAAGAAGAAAGAAACAAGTAAAGGGATCCACCTCCACATGGCCTCACTGGTTCCGCTGATGTCTAGCATACCCTGGATTGCCACCAGCCCGCTCGGAAACTGAGCTAGCAGGGGCTGCAGCAGGGGCTGGTTGCTGCATATGGTCTGTAAGCGTACCGCTGACGGGTCTCGAGTACGAATGAGAGGCAACCACAACTACAGCGGCAACTACAGCCGCCAAATTGCCATTGAATGATTGCCGTGCTGGGCGAGATAGAAAAGAGGGAAGGTGAGACAGCTCAAGCAAGCATGGCTGAGGTCTGTAAGAAGCAGAGCCTACGCAAACCTTGCGGGTAGAGGACCACGGCCGGCTCGAACATGTGCAGTTGCAGGGTTCCAACGTCCCAAATTGTGGCCCGCGGTCGCGATATTTCCACCACCAAAAAAACCCACAATATTGTGGATACAAACGTGTGCCCTGAGCCAGCCAGGCGAGCAGCCGAAAACCCGCCGCGCCAGAGTATTCCCAATAGCCAGTGGCATGCTGAGAACTTGTCACACGCGCGGGATTGCATGTGGGCACATGTCCGTGGCCGAGCAAAGGAGGCCGCACATCCACGTCAAAAATCAGTACCACAGCTCCATCCGAAGCTACGCAGGGGTTGAAAAGGAGGTGGGCTGTTTCCCTTTAACCTACCACTAGGGGGTCGACTTTGCCAAAAAAAGTGGGGCCAAACCTATTCAACTAACGACAGGCGTAGCAAATGATGTGCAAGTGCGGGCATCTGAAGGGCAATAGCAAACCCTTGCTTGCCTGCTGTCAGGTTTACCCAAACTGCTGTAGTGGAGGAAGAAGGTGATTCCCCGAGAAGTAGCAGAGACGTCGGAAGGCAGCACGAACCCTGACAAACTAAGGGCCCAAGGGTGAAAAGGTCATGTTCAAGCTAGCTAACCGCGGCCAGAAAAATGGCAAACAGTCAAACTAAAGTGAGCTAGGTCTTGACATGCTTGCTATCTTCCTGTTGCAAAAGGGTACAAATAGTTGTAACCATGGGCTTAGGTGTATCACTTCCTTTCAACCAAATCATTCGGTGGAGATGTGTGGAAAGAATGTTAGATTCAAGTTGCTCGCGGCTCATTGGCTGAATTGGAGAAAGACCGCAACGCTTGGAACCCAAACAACACACCAAAACTTGCCAAACAACGCAGCCAGGGCCGGTGTTTCTCCTTTCCCGCCAAAAGGAAACTCTCATTTCGGCAAAAGGCAATGTGTAAAATGTGTAAAACCCATCAAGCAAGAACCATGACGCTTTTACAATGGAACAACAGAAATGAGGGACCCCCAAGAAACAGACCCACAGTACATCCTGAGCTCGCTTCGCAGAACCTGTAAAGCTTATGCAGTTGGGTCCCGGCATGCCTCTTCCTTGCCCCCCCAAGGCCCCTCAGCCGCTGTTACGCAAATGTCATGGGCTACCGAGAGCCCGCAAAAAGGCAAATGCCTGCTACGTTGTGGAATTGGCTGTCCTACGTCGGCCACACCTGAACACATACTTTTCAAAATGGTTGACCCCTGTTTGGATGGCTTTGAAGGAACACCCAAGGTAAAACACCCCCTTTTTAGGGCCCCAAATTTTCAGAAACACGCAAGCATTCACCATGCCACAATGGCTTGATCGAGGATCATCTCCAGATCCTCCCTGGATCCCGTTGACAATGCGTTAAGTGGGTTCCAAAAATGGGTGCCTTTCGATTGGGAACACATGACCGTGCGCGTAGGGTGCAAGCGACCCGAACCTGTTTATTAGCCCCCACTTTGGATTTAAGACGTGCCCAAATGTGCTTGCTCGGGTTTCCTGACTTTCATTTACTCCGTTTAGGGCGCATGGCATGCGATCACAACCAATTTCTTACCCCCAGTGTAGGGCTCCCTGACTTTGCTTTACCCCCAGGGCAAAAAATAAGCAACGCCATTATCTGCCATGCACCCAACCCCCAGTGGATTTCCAAGGAAGAGGATTTGGCACCCCATTGTTGTTGATTTCAACAGGACCCCCCTCCAAAAACCCTTCAGTTGCTTGAGTGCCCTGGAAACCATACGAATAAGTCCCTTAGTCAGATTTCCTTTTTTATGCCAACAGGGGAAAATACAACACATTCTCTCACGTCCTGAGTGGATGGCCCAACAGAAGTAACCAAACTTTTGGTTTACCACTAAGACTAAATTGGTCCAAACCCCCAAAAAAAACAAAAGTTCAGAAACTAAGGGAGCGAATCTTTAACCAAATGGAAGAACATTAAAAAAGGCACCGCGGATCGATCGATCGACTTCCCACTTTTGGCAAGCCTCCCGCTGGCTCAGCTCCTTCAGCGCCTGAACCAACAAGAAGAGAAATACAAATCATAAAGAGGAAGAGAAAGAGAACAGTAAGTTAGAGGGAAAAAAAAACAAGATAAATATATAAGATAACGAACCCGAGAAAGAGAAAGAGGAGGTGAAGAAGAAGAAGGAGAAGGATAAAGAGAGAACGAAGATCAATAAAATGAGAGCCTATAATTCTTATATGATTGAAACTTCCGCCAACCGGCTTTGCTGGCTCTGGTAACTTGTATCGTGCCATGGATCTGCTGCAATACCCCATTTCAGGGCAATGGATACTCTTGCGGCAAGGACACCTCATGGAAGTAAATCCCGTGCATGTAGGAATCTGAGCCTTGGGAAAGTTAGTACACAGCTTCAGGTTGGTCCAGCTACGAGATTGACTTTTTTTGTGAGTCCAAGCACAAAAGCGACAACGTCAGAGGCCTCTGATACAGGTTTCTTCTGGAGGACCAAGCATGAACAAGCTGAGTCGGACCCTCTGGTTGAAGAGCCAAGTTGACCTGCTCAGTTGCCCCCTAGACACCCAGAAACAAATGGTGATGATGACTATGGACCAAAAGTGGAAAACTACCATGGCAAAAGCTCGATTCGCTTTGGACACGAAATGAAAACGCCCGACACCACAGTTTGAAGATTAAAGTACAGAAAATGAACACATACAACAAGCCCGCGTATCCCCAACAGCCCCTAACCCCCCTGAAAGCTGCTCCATCCCCATGCTTAGACAGACACCCCAAGACTTTCCAACTGTGGGGAACATGGCCTTATTTTACATTACAGCTGTTTCCTTTTTAGTGGGGGTGGATCCAAAACCCAGCTACCCTTTCTTGGGGAACCCCCTTTTGTTTGGTCCTGTTTTAAAGAGAATCTGGGGGGTAGGGGGGGTACTACTGTGGATGGACGAAATCCTGCACCACCTACGAAGCCCTGGGATGCTGACTCTCCTGAAAATACCAGCAAACAATGGTGTCCCACGGTTTCAAACTGGTGCGAAATGGATTTCGTTCATCCACAGTAGGGTTTTGACCCACAGCCGTTACAGCCTTTACGGCATGTCTCCCGTACCGCCTCCTGCACACAGCTCTCCACGCTGTCCAAGCGCCGCAACATGTCCTGCACACCACGGAAGCAGCAGCTGCAACCAACGGATTTGGCTGTGGTCAGAAATAGGGAAACCCGAAAATGGGTTGCCCGCCCTGGTAAATGAAACCAAGGGAAAACCTGCGGTGGTTTAGTTTTGACCCATACCCGTTTCCTTGGTACCTTCTTGAGTTGATTCGCCCAAAGTCCAATTTTTTTGTTTGACGCTAACATGGTCAAAAGCCCAAAGTCTAAGTCCAGCAACGCAGGCAGTGAGGCTCCCTTCCAAGGAGGTTCGTGTTTTTTTTCTGAATTTTAATGTCTGGAAAAGTATCCATAGGCCTAGGGAGAAGCCAGGAAGTGAGATACCCCCCGATGCTGTACTCGGTTGCTTTCTGCTCCCCTGCTAAAAGTTTTTAACTTTTAGTGGTTTAATACAGGAAAACCCATGAGTTGGCAAAAAGTGTTTCAGTCCGAACACCCCATATGAATCAACCCCAGTTTTCCCCGCACCGCCCTCCGACTCGACTCGGCTCGCTTCGGCTCCTCGTTGGGCTTCGGAAAGGTCTTCTCCGAGGACGACTGGCAGCGTAAACAAAAAAAAAAAAGTCCAGTGGTGAAGAAGAGTCCCTTAAAAACCAAGAGGGGAAAAGGAACCAAACAATTCTTAAGCAAATGGAAGGAAGAGTAAAGGACCAAAGGTTACAAACATACATGAATACGTTTGTTTGTTCGTTTGTTTCCAAATGCCCAGCACTTGCGAGAAGAAACGCATGCATGTGTTTTGTATTTTGTTCAAAATGCAGGCTGAACATGGGACGTTCTGTTACACAAATTGCCAAGTCTGAAATGACCTGGTTTCATTTGGACATGGCCGAGAATGGGGTGTTTCCTCATGGGTGATTTTCCTGGGTGGTTTTTCATGGGGGTCATATAAATCCTAGACTCCATAAGCCGCAGACCAAAGCTGCAAAACCCAAGGACCTGAGCACCAAGTTGGCCATCAGCATGGCAAAATCCACCTCGAGATTTTCCAGCCGCCCTAAGACTCACTTCCGATGTGGATGGCCCAAACATATTGACATCACCACTAAAATGATCTTCCCAACAAGCATGAACTCAGGAAGTGATGCCTCACTTTGATGTTCCTCCAGACTTCCCCTCAGTTGCCCAAAAGACCCAGATTTAAAAGATCACCATCTTTTGGGGCCATGACTAAACATGGACCAACAAGGGGAAGCTGAAAGGTCAAAAAGGTCGATTCGCTTTGGGCAAGTGAGCCTTGCAAAAAGTTGTCTGTTTGGTTGGGAACCAGGGCAAACGGTTCAACAAGGCAAAAGCTTCAGTCTGGCAATCACAGACACCCTCCCTTGACACTAGTCTGCATCCAACACAATAGTAAGCAGTCCCCAAGTACGCAGCAACAAAAACATGCAAATATGTGGGAGACTTCGTTGGTCCTGATCTTGCGCCGTATTTTGTTTGCCCAACTCCTCGTTTCGCGCCACCCGGATACACCGCCCTGCCCAAGGCTTGCCCGCCTCCTTCAGGAGCCCGACACGCCTCCGGCCGAGGGAAAACCGCGTGGCTTCGCCATGGACCCGCGGGCCATGCACCCCACTAGACTCACGTGGTCCTAAGGGGATGGGCCCAAAGACAGGACCCGAACTTGTCGTTTGCCGCGATGGCAACCAAACCCAACTCAGGAAGTGCGTTGACTCCCACTTCCTGAGTTCCTTAGCAGCCACCAAAGTGGTTGCTTGCCACTAGAATGGTCCAAACCCAAAAAGTGACTAAAGTCCAGGAACTCAGGAAGTGAGTTGAAGCCCTGAATCAGTTGATGCAGGCATACCTTTGTAAACTGGTCTGCCGCTGTTTGTTCAACCAAATGTGCGAACTGGCAAAAACTTCCATTTGCCTGAGTCGACCAACTTCCACTTGGGGAGTGTCCTGTTTGAGGGCATATATAGGATGGTGAAGGGAACTGGTTCAGGGTTGATTTCGAATTTCAGGTTGGGGTCGGTTTAGGTTTCGGGTTGGGTCCTTTTGGCACGTGTCCCCTCGCAACAAAACAAAGGCCCTACCCACTTGCGCAAAAACAAACTTTTACAGGAACCGGTTTCTGAGAACCATCGCGACGCCCCGTGTTCCCCAGTATCCCATGTCGTCAATGGTACCCACCACAAGTTGGCTCCCAAAAATCACAGGGCGAAAAGGTGAGGGTCCAGTCAAGAGAATCCGGAGTCCATGACCCGTTGATCAAAGTTAAATGGTACTTCATGTGTCCGTGGGGCAACCAACCACTTTTTAAACGTCGAACAAACGGATGTCCCAAAATAGGGTCCTCTTTCTGTCCTTAGGCGTTTCCACCACTTGGGGGCCACAGCCCTTCCCAGCTAATTAGACAAACACCGGTTACAGTGTCATTTACTTCCCTGAGGGCAACTTCTTAATTTAGCAACCATTGGATACACACATGAATGAGAACAGGGCCCCGTTGCCCAGCCTGGCTCAGACGAGATGCCAAGCCCAAAGCTGTGGGAACGAAAGGGAACACCCAAAACCGCTCAGCCACGCAGCACCACGCACATATCACCCATAGAAACATAACGGTAACATGTGCACTGCTCTATTGTTCCTCCTCCCACAAGCACATGCATCCATCGAAACGTTTCCGTGCCTCGCCGGGGGCTTGCAGTCCGCTTCGAGCTGGACATGCATCGCCTATCGTGGCAGTTGCCTGGGGTTTGGGGACCCCTTTGTGGGCCCCAAATGTCCCCCCCTTGTTTTCATAAATGTCAGCCAAATCCTGGGGGCGTCCGCTTGCCCATGACATGACACAGCTGCATTTTTGAATCTTGACTCGCGGATGCTGGCCATATCCATGCGACTTGAATCTCCAGGCTCTGTTTCACAAAGTGCCGCTTACCTGGATGCCGCTTGGGCTTACCGTTTGCTTGTTTGTTCATAGTAAACCTCACCACTCCCCGCAGCGCACAGTACCTCCCTTGATTAGCTGATTGAGTTTGAGTGCAACTGCCCCCTCCAGCGCCCTTAGTGGTTCTCATACGAACCCTTGCAATGATTGCCTACCCGAGGCAAGCCTTTGCCTTTACCGTACACACACGCGCACACGCGCACACGCGCACACGCGCACACACACACACACAGACATTCATGATCATCACTCTCTGAGCATGTGACCATGGCACCTCTACTAGAAATTCCACCGAAGTTCTGGCCTGGAGTCTCCATGCCGCTTTAAACATGGGGTCATGCTTTCTTATCTTGGGTAAACAACCACATCTTCAAAAGCCATGGAGCGCGCTGTGAGCCAAAGCCTAGGTTTACCTTTGGATCAAGCATCAAGTCCAGGGAGATGTCGTGATTGACATACCTTTGGCCAGGTCAAAGGGCAATCAAATGGTACCCTAAGTGGGGTGTTGTTAAACATATATGAACCCCTTTGGGACCTGGTGCCGCCTTTTCAAGGGGATACAAAAAGGGGCCCCTACTTTTGACGAACCTTCAAATGCTTTTTATATACTATGAATTAGACCATTGGAAAGCCCTTGGGTCCCGGTGAATGAAATCAGCCGGCCCCACGACTTCTTTTCTCTTGCCAATTCGACCAAAGGGGTTTGGGCATCCAAATTATACTGTGGAAGCATGGGAATGAAACCACTTTGTTTGTTACGGTAATTGCTAAAACCTGTGGGAATCGAATCAATCCAGGGTTTCGGAGCGGTGGTGCCAAGTGGATTTTGTCCATCCACAATAGCTGCTGGATCTTACAGCAACTTCGGATTCGAGCTGGGGAGTCCCCTTCTTACCCTTCGAACATGGAAACACGCTAGCATAGTTCTCCGAAACGAGCAGGAACAACTCGTGCTTTTTGGCGAGCTGAAAGCTTTCACCTCCTTGCTTGGACATTACTTAAGTAAGCCTCTGTGTGCCGAAGGGCATGTGGAAATAAGGCACGTTAATTGCGGCTTTCCTTTTGGTTTGCGTTCACACTGTCCTGACAATGGTCCCCTAAATATGTATATATATATATGTCTAATAAAAAGGAAAGAAAAACGCGGACTCCAAGCTGAGACGGTGCCTGCAGCTGGGTGGAAAACTTCTCCAGCAGCTGGCAGACTTGTTGCCGGCCGGTGCTCAGCGCTTGCAGCGCCTCCGTGAGAATTCATGGGGAACAAAGGTGCAAAGATGGGGAGATCAGCCCCTAGGCATTGGACAAAGCACCCCCCCGGCTGGTTTCCTAAAACAAGCGTTTTGGTGCGGGGGGATTCAGGCTTGGATCCTATGATGGTTGGTGCATGTAGCCAGTGCTCCCTGACTGAAAGAAGAAGTGGCTGGACAGTTTCGGCCTTGACTCAAAAAACAAATACGTCACGCAACAAACGTCAAGCTTGCCAATTGACAAAGTTCAAACTGTCAACTTGGCAGGTACTCCTTAGGCTCACTTCCCTGTTGCCAGCTATAAAGAAATGGTCTTCCCATATTTGTTCAAGCCCCTGAACTTGGAAATCGAGCATAGCATGTGCCATGGTCAGAACTCCGGTCGTTTGTGGTCATGGCAATCATTCTGGCTATTAAGGATCCTTGGTTCGGTCCATGACCATCCCAACGTCAACCCGTGAAGGAACCGGTCCTTCCATTTGGTTAAGGCCCCAGGAAGCTCCTCTTCAAACCAACCAGGGAAAATAAAACAACATGGCTGTGGCTCAAAAAAACGGTACCAAAATGGAACCCTGGTAAGTGGAAACATGGACTAAAACCTGCGTAACCCTAGCTCCTTAAATTTGAGCCACACTGACACCCACATATTCTTACGCAAATGGAGGGGTCTTTTGATCCACGTCGGTACGGATTGCATTACTCCCCAGCCTGATCCGGATCAGCACCTGACACGCGAACACGGGGTTTTGTATTCCAAGAGTCAGACGCAGACCCCTGCGAAAAGTTGAGCGCTGGGTCAAAAAAAAAAAGGACCATCAATGGACCTTGAAGGGGGGCTGAGCTGGGAAGCTATCCCTGGAGCCTAGCAGCCAAGGATAAGCCCTCAAGGCCTTACTAAGGGGTTGATAAGTCATAGCCCCCATTCCCCGTAGCCCCGCTTGGAGGTCCATGAAGTAAGGAAACCCCAAAAAAGCATACAGAAAAAGGTGAGCTGAGTCGTGCAAAGAGGATTTCTCCCTGAGCCTCAGGGGTCTGAGTGCCTTCCAAGACTTTGACCCGACACCGCAACGTACTTGGACTGCCTCCGGTTGAGCGTTTCTCTAGGTGAGCCCACTCTAGAACCCTGCCTAGGAACCAAACTGGGCTGCCAATTTTTTTCAGATCCCCCGCTAGAAGTGACCAATTTTTCGTGGGTTAAATGGAAACTACCACGAAACACTAAAAGGCTAAAAAGGCTAAGGAAACGGATGGCTGGAAGCCGCCAAGAAAAGAAAGCCCTCCCCATCGATTCCCCGTTTGCCCTGAACTGAGCCCTTCCTTTGCAGCATGTTGGAAAAGGGAAAGTGGCAAGTGGGGTGTTGGGAAGGGGGCAGATCCCAAAAATCATTGCAACAGCTAGACAACCGCACAGCCCACACACATACATCTGCACCGCTCACTGAAATTCACCAGTCAAACTGAGGAAGCCATGAGAATGGACCTTCGCGGGCCATACTTGGACACAAAAAGAGTGTGTCGGACTCTTGAAATGGGTCTGTCTCCAAATAGGGGAACCCCCCCAAACATGGCAGAATGGGTGGTTTCCTTTCGTTTCCCTTTTCACCAGCCCATGAAAGAGTACCCTCAAAACACGATACTCTCGGGTTTCACAACAAATGTAGACTCCAATTGGGCACCTGCAATGATCTGCACTGGCCGGTGGCCCACGAGTCAAAACCTTTTCAAAACCTCGTTTGCTTCGACCGGAAGCGACCGGAAGAAGTCGAACCCCGGGACTTCGTAACATACGTCCTGGGTGAATTATACTCATCTCTACTCTTGGTATGGTAGCGAAAAACGTTGTTTTTGCAGACCCCCAGTAAAAATCAACAGAACCAAAAAACTAAAAAACAAAAAACAAAAAATGCCAATAACAGTAAAGTAATATTTCACCAGCCTGAAATTTTCGGTGGTTGGTGGGGCCATTCCCCACATAAACCACCATTTTGGGTGAATTCGGTCGTGTGAGGTCGTTATAACTCACCCAGATACGTTGGATGGTTGCGAAAACCAATTCGCGCCACCGTTCAGACACCTTTCTGGAATGATTCGATTCCACGGTACCAACCAACGTTATGGTTTCAACTATGGCTTCTTTGGTGGTGCAGGATTTCGTCAATCCACAGTATGGCCCATTTCCTCCCTTACCTACGGAGTGGTTGTGTCCCGAGACCTTCATTCACGGCAAATGTTACCCTCAGATTCACCCAGACCGTGCCAATGTTGGGCGGTTCCCTTTCAAAGAAATTCTACCTATTGGAGGGGGCCCCTCTCTCTCGTCGGGTCTTCCAGAATCCGAGGGTGACACACTTGTTGATTTCAACAGGGAAACCCTTCGCCAAAAACGGAAACCAGGGCGCTAGAGGTCTGAGCCCCAAATGCTTCCAAAAGCCTTGAAGGCTTTGCAACCACGAAAACGGGGCAAAGAACATCATATATGGGTATGGGTCAATGCTTAACCCCCAGCAAACCGCAGGTTTTAGTCCTTGGTTCCATTTACCAGGGTTCCCTTTTGGGTACCCATTTTTGACCCACAGCCATATCTTTTCTGACTTTGACTCGTAGAACCTAAGATGGCCACCAAAATTGGGGCCATCTGCGCTGCTCTATTCAGCCTTTTTGCCCATGGGCAAGGATGCGCAAACGTCATAGGTCTTGCAAGACTCTCGCTGCGAAACCAGGACACATGGCCTACCAGTTTCTCTGAACAAAATGTGCAGCTGGTGCTTTATCAATGTCCATTTGCGGATACGTCCCCTGGAAAAAAAGAGAGATAAAACATGTCCAGCAGTGAAATCGCTTCGCTTTGAAACCCACAAAGGGAAACAAACCACATGTCCCCCCCCTCCCCCCTCCCAAACCAAGAGGTGGAAATACAACGAATCCAATGAAACACAAATGGAAGACCCGAGTTTTCCGCCAACGGAGGTCCTTTCAGCCCGTGGCCTGGATGTTTTGTGGCTGAAAGGAGGCCACGGATGGCATTTCTCACCCGGATGTGTCATTTGGAAAGGGTTATCCTTTCTCAGTTGTTCAGTGACCCTGGAAGAAAAGGGGAACCAATTCTTTTTGGGGCTTGGACCATCTTTAGTGGGGCAGTCACCAAAAAAAAGGGGGAAAAAGGCGCCACTGAACAACTGAGCTTTGTTGGTTGGCTAAATGGGGACTCCGAAAAACAGAGCCGCAGTGTCCTGAATGTAGCAGCTCAGTGCTTTACTCCTAGCCCATCCTAGGATTGAACCCTTGAACCCATCGGATGAGAAGGACAACGCTGAAGACCAACCCCTTTTAAAGGGTCGTTGGGCCCACAAAGGGCGCCCTGCATGAAACCGGGTTGAAACGCAAGCCAGCCGCAAGCGCCTGGCAATGGGGGTGTCTCCTGGCAACGAGACACCAAACCCAGTGATCATCAGCTTCCCCTTTGGTGGTTTGGGGATAAAGCGATACAGCAATCAGCTGCTTCCTCTTACTTCCTGGGTGGATGCCCCGGAAAAAAAGAAGAAGTGTTTGCCACTAAAATGGTACAAAGGCAAAAAGTTCAAAGTCCAGGAACTCAGGAAGTGAGTAATTGGTGGTTTGACTTGGAGTTGACCCCTGGCTCCTTTCTAAACAAAATGAGGCAGATACCCAACAAATCGTCCAACCCAAACCAAACCACCAGCTAGGGGTAAGGTGATATCAGCATAGCTATACTCAGTTGCCCAAAACCCCAGAAACAATGGTAATTTTTTGGGGGGCCATGGCCTAAACTAGGAACCCAACCAGGGGAACTCAAAGGTCGAATTTCAGGTCGATCCGCTTTGGGCAAGCGAGACAAGTCAACCAATCTCCTGTCCGAATGATATCTCTTTGCTCGCCTATTCTTGAATCCTTTCCCACTCATAGCGCTTCGATTCTCAGCCTTAGGGACCCGGAAACAAAAGGTGATCACCGTTCAGGGCCTTTATTAATAGACCAACATAGGAAAACAAAAGGTTTGGGACCTTCATTCAAAAGTGACCAGCATAGGAAAACAAATGGTAATTTCAGGTTAATTGGCTTTGGGCAAGTTGCCTGGATAAAGGTCCCATCCTAGAAGAAACCGCCACCTTTCACTCTTTGGATACCAGTTCCGCAACGGCTCCCTTCGAATCAAGGAATTGCAACCAGACTTGCTGATCTCTTGGAAAGGCTGCCCGGAGAAAGGAGCCTTACGGAAAATCTCTCCTTGGCTTGTCCCTGGTTGATTCGTCCTCGGGCTGCTCTATCCTTTTGGCAGATGGGTTGCCTGGTAAATGGATGGCATAAGACCAATCTAAACCAGCGGAACCCTTTTGGAATCCTTCACTTCGTGACCCCCCCCCTTCCCCCAAATCCTTTCATTGATCCGCATCCGCGGGATTCATGCGGAGTTCACTGTGGGTGACGCCCCCCTGGAGAGTGGGTTGATTTTATCCGAAACGGGAAAGCAGCGCCCTTTCCATACAGGCGGAATGCACAAGAAGCCGAGATGTATGACATCTAAGCAGCAAGGCTTTCGGCGTGACTCACGGAACACGTTTAGAAAGTGGTGTTTTCCTGTTGGATGGCGAATCAGACCCTCCCACTAAAACAGACACATGCACAAGATCCGTTCCTGGGACCGTTTGTTTGGCGTCTTTGCAAAGAGGTCCATGGGGGTGAACCTTATTTGATGCTCCCACGCTTGGAAGGCGAGTCATTTCACGCGATGTCCCGCTTTGCCACCCGAATGTGAGAAGAAACTGAACCCTGTCCGGGTTGGTTCGAACGGAAACCAACAGAACGCCATTGTTTGGGGCCCCTAAAAAAAGACGCGCCCACTAAAACACAAGCAAACAATGCAAAACAACTCCTGCCACTTGCGCCCAGACTGGTTTGTGTTGGTATCAAAGATGCTACGTTGGCTTCCTAAGCACAGGTGACCTTTTGAAGAAAAAGCAACATGGCCAGTGGATCCCAACTGGACCAAACCCAAAAAGTGACTCAAGTCCATGAATCTTCAATGAGATACTGTGGACGAAATCCTGCACCAGGAAATTCTGGATGATTACTCCCCTGTAAAGTACCAACAAACCTTCTGGTTTCATTCCCATGGCAACTCATTCACCGTGCGATGTCTGGATTTCGGGTCCCCATCCACGGTCTGAGCTTTTGGGTTCCATGGCAAGCCGTGCCTCAGCCGGGGGCCTGATCTTTGCAACCTTTGGTGCGAAGCCTGGCACTCGCGACTTGTTCACCCAAGTCCGATCAGGTTTCCCGTCCCTTGTCTTAGGGGTGTCAGAAGGACCTACTTGGAGGCCACACATTTCAGGACGCTGATGTCCCTTTTAGAGGTGTCAGAAGGACCTACTTGGAGGCCATTGATTTTTTCATTTCAGGAGGACACACCCATCAAAATGAGTGGCATCCTGTTGATCTCCCTCGAAACTCCATCCAAAATGGATCCCCAACTTTACCACATCCATTGGTAACCACAGCTCCTCATGCTAAGTTGGAGAGGGTAACCAGTGTCATGACCTGCCTACACAGCGAATGGCTGTTGCTGATCATAATATATGCGTACGCTCCTGGTATTTGAAAGGGGGGGTTCTATTTGCCACTCTCCATGTGTCTGCAAACATTTGGGTTGACTCTGCGAGCGGCAATCGGAGACGAAACGATCTTCCAACGTTAGGGGATTGGTCGTCATGAGACTCGGGTCAATTCTGAACATAGTTAGAGGTGTAGACAAAGCTACGGGGACACCACCCCCAATTCTCACCCCACACCTGTGGTACACAGGAAAAAAAAACAAAAAAATGGCTTTCTGTCTCAGTTCTTATATTTCGTCCAAGTACTTGTGCCCCTTTCTCGGACAATTCTATTGCCCAGACCCGCGGGGAAACTACCCTTGTTGGTGATTTGTTTACGCAGCGAGCCTGCGTTTGGACTATTTGAACTTGTTCCCAAGGGTGTCATCCCAGTCTCACTGGCCCAAAGGATCTGGCAATCAAACGTTAACCTTCTGTGACCTTGACGAATTATGGACCGAACAAGAAAAAACAAAAGGTGAAACGGTCCGCTCCGGGCAACTGAGCAGCACAAAACAAACCGCTCATGTTTTTACAGCTGAAGGACGGAAAGTCCTGCACCGCCTCTCCCAACTCGATTTTGCCACTAACGCCACAAATTCCGCTTTTTCTTTGCACTGTTGGTCTGCATTCACAAAAAATGATGCAGGAATTTGGTCATTTCCAAAATTTGCAACCAGGAGCTCGAGATAAACCAGGGCCAATGGAAGTAAGCATCCTTCACCATTGTGATGATTCCTAAGGAACCATGTCTCCTAATCATAGTTTGCCGTGCTGGGTCCCTTTATATTTCGCATGGTGGTTGTAAACATCGCCATGGGACAATCTTTTGTTCTGAGCTTCCTCGTGGGGTAACGTGAGTCTGTCAACAGTGTGGTTGTCCTCCTTCCACCAGGGTTCCAGCCTTCGAAATATGAAACAAGCTGTACTTGGAGTCTCCATGACCCTTACAAAATGGGGTCATTACCCAAAAATAAGGGGTCATGGACCCATTTTTTAAGGGTCATGGAGACTCTATGTAGGCCCTAGTCCCTCTTCGAATCGTGCGGCCCCGGCATAACTTACCCAAAGGGTGACGTGCAGTGGGATACCCCACTGCAAAATAGCATGGAAACCAAAAAGGGAATCCCCCCAAAGGTCCCTCTACAAATGAACGTGAGCCCCATGTGTGCCCCCTTGACATGGGAATCTTGCTTTGGCAAGTGTTCTTTATGTCATACCCTTTTCTACAGATCTAAAAAAAACAAAAAACTGTTTGGTTTTTTGGGAGCACGGGAAATGATTGAGATGGAGACGGGTAGACTCAGTGGCCATGAGCAAGGGTTCTGCATTTCCACTTACATCACACGACGAGGAAACTCTGAATAAAAATGGTCACTTACTTCGTGATGTTTACAACCCGCATGGGGAAAAGGCCTGGGAAATATGTTTAGGGACCGTGGCTCCAGAATAGGGAGCCAAAGAAGAGCAATAGGAATCATCACAATGGTGATTGAGGATCCTTACTCCTAGAATGACATCATCCCTGTTGACCCCGAGCAAAGGAACCGGACTTTCCACGGCATAGGGAAACACAGCCCACACACTTGGAACATCTTTTCAGCGGAATTGGCCCCTTGAAAAGGTCCGCAATGAGACATATGTTTAGCGACGCTCCCCCAAAAAAAAGAGGGAACTTCCCTTCAATGCAAAGGTGGAACAACCCGAAGGAAAACCGCTGCACCATTTGAAGCCTTCTAATAAAGACGAGGAGCCCAAAAAGGGGAAAACATCCTCCAGTGGAATCCACTAGGCCCCAAACACCACTTCGAAGTCACTCCTTGAGTGGTAGATGGGGAAACCACCAACCAGTTTCTGAGTCGCATCGTTTGGACCCCAGTCTTTTGACCACACATAGGGAAACCAGTTTGAAGGACCCCCCCACCTCCCTGAGGACTCCAAAAACATATGGGAACCAGAAGGGTGGCAATCATCGTCCTTTTAGAAAAATCGAGATTTTTCCTGGTAGATTAGGGTTACAACCAGATCAACCAGGAATGGCCATCTGGGTGTGGCTCAAAATTCAACGGCTGGGGTTACGCAGGTTTTAGTATTTGTTTCCATAGATGCATTTACCAAGCTTCCATTTTGGTACATCTTTTTGACCCACAGCCATTTGAACATGCTCCGAATCACTCAGTTTGACCCACAGCCATCTATTGTCCGCCAAACAACACGCTCAAAAAGGACACCTCCGGTGGCAATCTGGCAGCTTTGGCCTAGTGCATCACCGTGAGGTGTGGTGGCCGTGGAGTTGCCCTCCTCGTCCTCATAAAATCGCGTTGGCAGCGGGCGTGGTTTTCTGGGCGGCTCTTTAAAGTGAAAACCCTGGCGTTTGTGCCATTTTGAGTCGCTTCATGCTCTCGCTTCCTGAGTTCCTGGATACACTTTTTGCACAGACCATTTTAGACTTTTTTAGTGGCAACAAAATGAAGGACTTTTTTGGCCAAGGTACTCAGGAGGTGAGTTTTGAAAACAGGGTTTCCAACCGCTACGCAATAGCCAGCAAACTTCATGTGGGGCCTTGGCTTGTGGGGGCCCTCTGCCCTCCAGAAAAAAACTTGAAGCCACGGGAAAACACAAAAACACCCAGATCCCAAACCTGCCCAAGCGCCCAAAGTCGACGCTGCAAGAACATGCCGACGCCATTTACTCTTGTACTGATGACTGCAACATCTAAACATCCGAACGTAAGCTGAGCGCCCACAAGCTCCCACATGCACACTCGTGGAGAACGCACGCAACACTTCCACCCACAAGCGCCCACGTGCGCCCACAAGACCCGCAAAAGAGCGCCCACAAGCGCACACATGCGCCCATGAAAGGCATTAAACACTGCCGCCCAACAAGCGCCCACATGCGCATGAAGGCGACCCCCAAAAACGCCGCCCAGAAGCAACCGCAAGTGCCAGTACCCGCACCGCCGACTGAAAGCGACTGAAAGTGTCCATGGCAGCTAAAACCGTCCACACAAGGGCGCAAACCGCCCGCAAAAACAGTTCAGCCCCACATGCGCCCTCATACACCCATGACTGGAGCGCCCTCAACGCTACCGCCCACACCGCCAAGACTTCCACCCGCATGCGTTCATGACCCACCCAGACTGACTGGCGCCCACAAGCGCCCACAAGCCCACGTGCGCTCACAAGCACCCATCAAAGAGGCACTTCTTCCAAGCGCTTGTATGCGTTCACAACCCGCAGCACAACACTTCATCAAGAAAGCACCTGCGCCCACAAGCGCCCACAAGCACTCATCACATCCGCCCAGAAGCGCCCACATGCGCCCACATGCGCTCACGCGCTTTCTTGGCGCCCGCAGCACTTCCGCCCACAAGCAAGCGCCCACATGCGCCCACATGGAAGCAAACCAAGAGAGGGCCCACGTGTGCCCACTAGCACCCACAAGCACATGAAAAGCGCAGCGCCCGCAACACCACCCACCAAGCCAAGAGCTACAAGCCCACACCCGCAACCCCGCCCACAAACAGAGCACCCACGAGCCCCCCAAAACGAGCGCCAACCAAGCCCAGCAAGAGCGCCCCAAAAAAAGGCGCCCACAAGCGCCCACAAGCGCCCACAATGCCCACAAACCCAGAAAGAGCAACAAAGCAAAAGCGCCCACAAGCCCAGCAAGAGCCCACGAGCGCCCAAAAGTGCCCACAAGGGCCAGCCCAGCAAAAGCGCCCACAAGCGCCCACAAACCCAGCAAAAAGCAAAAGCGCCCACAAGCCCAGCAAGAGCGCGCACAAGCGCCCAAGCGCCCACAAGCCCAGCAAAAGCTCTTAGCAGCCCACAAAAGCGCCCACAAGCGTTATAAGTCAACAAGCGCCCACAAGCCCAGCAAAAACGCCCACAAGCCCACCGACAACCTGGATTGGGGTAGGGAAGGGAAAGCAGGGCGTCTTTTATCAAAAGTTCAGACACATTTGCTTTGGGCCTAGGTTTGCGATCGTCCGGAGGAACCCTCATCGTCTTGAAGCAGTTGACTCCTTTGAGGCATCGTCCACCAGCAAGAGCGCGCAAGCGCTCGCAAGCCCAGCAAAAGCGCCCACGCCCAGCGAGCGCCCACAACCCCAAGAGAGCCCACAAGCGCCCACAAGCCGCCTGCAAGCCCAGCGAAAGCGCCCACAACCCCAAGAGAGCCCACAAGCGCCCACAAGCTCGGCAAAAGCGCCTACAAACACCCACCGCCACAAGCCCAGCAAAAGCGCCCACAAGAGCGCCCAAACAGCAAAAGCACCCACAAGAACCAAGCCCAGCAACGCCAACAAGCCCAGCAAGCCCCGCAAAAGCGCCCAAGAGCGCCCGCAAGCGCCAACAAGCGCCCACAAGCCAGCAAAAGCGCCCAAAGCCCAGCCCCACAATCCCAGCAATAGCGCCCACAAGCCCAGCAAGAGCAGGCCAGCAAAAGCGCCCACCCACAAGTGCTGAGCCCAGCAAAAGCGCCCACCCAAGCGCCCACAAGCGCCAACAAGCCCAAGCAACAGCGCCAACAAGCGCCCACCCACAGCCGCCCACACACGCCCACAAGCCCAGCAAAACCGCCCACCAGCAAGAGCGCACAAGCGCCCAAGCCCAGCAAAAGCGGCAAGCCCAGCACAAGCGCCCACAAGCCCAAGAGAGCGCACAAGCGCCCACAAGCCTAGCAACAGCCCCCACCCCTGCAAGCCCAGCAAAAGCGCGCACAACAAGCCCGCAAGCCCAGCAAAAGCGCCTACAAAGAGCGCCCAGAGCCTCAGGCCCAGAAAAAGCCCACAAGAGCGCCAAGCCCAGCCGCCCACAAGCCCAGCCCGCAAGCCCAGCAAAAGCGCCCACAAAAAGCACCCACAAGCGTTAAGTTAGTGCCACCCAGCAAAAGCGCCCACAAGCCCAGCAAAAGCCCACCCACAATCCTCGCAAAAGTGCCACGTGCAGGCGCCCGCCTGCTCAGCACACAACGGTGCAGCCTGTGGGCTTGTGTGCATCTTAAAGGGAGACATGTGGGCGCTTGTGGGCACTTCGGCCCGGCGGGAACAACGGGAAAAAACGAGCGGGACAACGCAAGTGCATGTGGGCGCATGTCGGCGCATGTGCCACAAGAAAAACGCCCACAAGCCCAAGAAACCCACAAGCCCAGAAGAGCGCCAAGCCCAGCAAAAGCGCCAACAAGCCCAGCAAAAGCGCCCACAAGCCCAGCAACGCAAAAGCGCCCAAGAGCGCACAAGCGCCAACAAGCGCCCACAAGCCAGCAAAAGCGCCCACAAGCCAGCCCCACAATCCCAGCAACAGCGCCCGCAAAGCCGAGCAACAGCACCCGCAAAGCCCAGCAAGAGCAGCCCAGCAAAAGCGCCCACCCACAAGTGCTGAGCCACAAGCCCAGCAAGCCCAGCAAGCGCAGCAAGAGCGCCCACCCACAACCGCCCACACACGCCCACAATCCCAGCAAAACCGACCAGAAAGCCCAGCAAAAGCGCCCACAAGCCCAAGCGCCCGCAAGCGCCCGTAAGCAAAAGCGCTTCGCCAAAAGCGCCTACAAGCCCAGCAAAAGCGCACGCAAGCCCAGCAAGCCTCTACAGGCTCAGCTAGCAAACGCGCTTGCAAGCGCCCACAAGCACAGCAAAAGCCCAAGCGCCTACAAAATCGCAAGCGCCCACAAGCGCCCAGCACAAGCCCGGCAAAAGCGCCCACAACCCACAAGCCAGGAAAAGCGCCGACAAGCCGACAAGATCGCCAACCCACAAGCCCAGCCCACTCACAAACCCAGCAAGCCCCGCAAAAGCGCCCGAGCACGCCCACAAGCCTAAGCCCAGCAAAAGCGCCCACAAGCCCAGCAAAAGCCCACAAGCGCCCACCGAAAAGCGCAGCAAAAGCGCAGCAAAGGGTGCCACCTGCAGGCGCCGGCCTACTCACAGCAAGTGAGCCCACAACGGTGCAGCTTGTGGGCTTGTGTGCATCTTAAAGGGATGAAACATGTCGGCGCTGTGCACTTCTTTTTCATTGTGCTAAAAGAAACCAAAACGGGATCGCCAAAAAACGTGATCGAGCCGGAAAAAACCGTATCGAGCGGGAAAAAACGGGAAAAAGCGGGAACGAGCGGGAAAAAACGGGAACGAGCGGGACAAAACAGGCTGACGAGTGGTGTGGGCGCATGTGGGCGCATGTGGGCGCATGTGGGCGCATGTGGGCGCATGCGGGCGCCGGCAAAAGCGCCACAAAAGCGCCCACAAGCCCAGAAAGAAGAGCGCCCACCCACAACCGCCCACACACGCCCACAATCGCAGCAAAACCGCTCACCAGCAAGAGCGCACAAGCACCCACAAGCCCAGCAAAAGCGCCCACAAGCGCAGCAAAGGCGCCTACGCCCAAGAGAGCCCACAAGCGCCCACACGCCCAGCAAAAGCGCCCACAAGCCCAACAAAAGCGCCCACAAGCGCCCATAAGCAAAATCCCTTAGCCAAAAGCGCTTACAAGCCCAGCAAAAGCGCGCACAAGCAAAGCGCTTTTGCTGGGCTTGTGGGCGCTTTTGCTGGGCTTGTGGGCGCTTTTACCGGGCTTGTAAGACTTGGGCGCTTGTGACCCCTTGGGATTTTGTGGGCGCTTGGGCTTTTGTGGGCGCTTGGGCGTGGGCTTGTGGGCGCTTCTGGGTTTGGCTTGTGGGCGCTTTTGCTGGGCTTGTGTCGGAGCCCACAACAGTGCATAGCCTTGTGTGTGGGAGCTTGTGGGCACTTGGGCACTTGTGTGTCGAAAACGGCAAAAAACGAGAAAAAAACGGGCTGACGCGAGTGCGTGTGGGCGCATGTGGGCGCACGTGGGCGCATGTGGGCGCCACAAACCCACAAGCCCAGCAAAAGCGCCCAGCCCCACAATCCCAGCAAAAGCGCCCACAAGCCCAGCAAGAGCAGGCCAGCAAAAGCGCTGAGCCCAGCAAAAGCGCCCACAAGCGCCCACAAGCCCAAGCCACAGCCACCAGAAGCGCCCACAAGCCCAACAAAAGCGCCCGCAATCCCAGCAAGAGCAAAAGTGCTCACAACCACAAGCACTCAGAAGCACACAAACACTCACAAACGCTCACAAACACTCACAATCACTCACAAACACTCACAAACACTCACACAAACACTCACAATCACTCACACACTTACAATCACTCACAAACACTCACAATCACTCACAAACACGCACAAACACTCACAAGCACGCACGCGCTCACTCGCTCACTTGCTCACTCGCCCACTCGCTGACTCGCTCACTCGCCCACTCGCTCTCTCACTCACGCACTCACGCACTCACGCGCTCACGCAGTCACGCAGTCACGCAGTCACGTAGTCACGCCGTCACGCACTCAACGCACGCACGCACGCACTCTCTCACTCTCACTCTCTCACTCTCTCACTCTCTCACTCTCTCACTCTCTCACTCTCTCTCTCTCTCTCTCACTCACTCACTCACTCACTCACTCACTCACTCACTCACTCACTCACTCACTCACTCACTCACTCACTCACTCACTCACTCACTCACTCACTCACTCACTCACTCACTCACTCACTCACTCACTCACTCACTCACTCACTCACTCACTCACTCACTCACTCACTCACTCACTCACTCACTCACTCACTCACTCACTCACTCACTCACTCACTCACTCACTCACTCACTCACTCACTCACTCACTCACTCACTCACTCAAACACACTCACAAACACACACGCACTCAAACACGCACCCCTCCCCTCCCTCCCTTCCTCCCTCTCCGCCCTCCCTCCCTCTCTCCCTTCCCGCCGCCAGCTGTTTCTTGCACACTGATTCACGTACGCAGCGTGTGCGCGCACGGACACACAAAGCGCTGAAGTTTTACGTGCGCCTGGGTACTCACAAAAGTAGCTGGAGGTCATCCACAAACAAGCCTCCGGAGTCGCTAACACCCACAAACTCCAGACAGAGAGGGAGAGAGAGAGGGAGAGAGAGAGACAGAGAGAGAGAGAGAGAGAGAGAGACAGTGAGAGAGAGAGAGACAGAGAGCGCACTAACGCCCACAACAACGCCCACACAAGCTCAGCAAAATGTCCAAAGCCACAACCACTAAAATGGTCCAACCCCAACACGTGAGACTTTGCCCATCAACCGGCCAAAGGGTCTACTCACATGTGAGTGGCGTTCTTGCTGGGCGTCGCGGGCGGTTTTTTTTGATGCGGCTGTTCTTCCTTGCGGGCACTTGCGGAGAGTTTTGTGCTGTTTGGGCCTGCGGGCGCTTATGGGCGTTGCAGGCATCTTCCTGGGCTTGTGGGCGTCGGTGTTGCGGGCGTCTTCCGGGAGCGCCGTTGCGCTCTTCCTTGTGCTTGTGGGCAGTTTTGGGGGCTTGTGAGCATGTGGGCGCCGGTCTGTGGCTGGGCTTGTGGGCAGCGTTGTGGGCGCTTGTGGGCGGGCGTCTTATTGGGCAGGCGAGTGGCACCAAGAAGCTTGGGTTCTGGGCAAATGACACAAGACCTGACCGAATTTGACCGACAGGGACAGGGAAAGCAAAAGGAGCACCCAATCTCCTTGCGGGCCCTCAACAAGACGAGCCAATAGGTTGACGGTTAGATATGCGCGGCGCAGCTAGATGTCCAGAAATAAAACAACCTTGCGGCCAAAGGCTATGGGGTTGCGCAGCCTTTCTCAGCTGTTGGGCCAGAAGGTGTCGTTGACTGCCGCCCTTGTAAACATTAACAGGCGGCAATTTGAACCCTTCCCTTTGGATTCTCACTCCCTGATGGGTTCCTGGACTTTAGTTACTTTTGGGAAGATCATGTTAGTTGTAAACGACAACTTTGGTTGCATTTTTTGGCCAGTCCACTCAGAGAGGTAAACATGTTCAACCCCCCATGAAAAGAAGGTTTGAACCCCAGTAATGTAAGCGCCCATATGGACCGCTGCGGGCGCCCGCAACAGCGCAACACTGCCGCCCACAAGCGCCCACAAGCGCCCGCAAGCCTCATGAAGAACGCCCGCAACCACCCACAAGCGCCCACCAAGAGCGCCCACAAGTGCCCGCAAGCAATTATGAAGGGAGCGCCTGCAACAGTGCCGCCCACCACCCCCCACCCCACAAGCACCCAATGAAACCCCGCCCACATGCGCCCACAAGCGCACCCAGCAGAGAGCGTGGGCGAGCGCCCATATGCGCCGCACACCCGAAAGCGCCCAAGAAGAGCCCCCACATGCGCCTAGAAGCACCCGCCAAGAGGAACGCCCACAGAGGCAACAGTGCTGCCCACAAGCGCCCGCAAGCACTCATGATGCACGCTTGCAAGACTTCCGTCCTTGTGGCCCACATGCGCCCACAAGCCCCACGAAGGAGCGCCCACAAGCGTCCGCAAGCGCTCATGAACATCGCCCGCAAGACTTCCGCCCACAAGCGTCCACCAAGACAGCCCACCAAGACAGCCCAGGCACAAAGGGAGCCGACAGCGCCTGCAAGCGTCCTTGAAGTGAGCGCCCACAACGAAATGCCATTCCTTCAAAGCAAGCCGAAACTGGCTGATGCTGGCCGAGGCGGGCAGCACGAAGCGTGTACAATAAAAATGTGTGCTCGCGGAGCTTACCCTGACACCTGCGTTGTCACTCCCACTTGCAAGCGCGAGCTCTACGTTCAAGGGCTGCTTTGTTTCCTGCTGTTTCATGTTTCTTTGCTGCTGTTTCCTGATGCTTCCTGCTTCTTCCAGCTCTTTGGAAGGCCCCGAAAACAAGAGGCCCCACAAGGGATTTGCTGAAATAGAAAGCTGAGATAGGTACCTCTTTTTTCGGGCTGGTTTTTAGCGGAAGCCCAAAGGAACATCGGTTGGTCATTTTGGGTATCTTTTTTGAGTTGGTACCTCCGTTTTTGCCGGGAAACCAAACGGAAAACCGTAGCACCATTTGGGGGCCCCTAAGAAAGATACACCCGTATGGCTGAAAAAACTTCAGTGTGTTGCATTGTACTCAGGCATTGTAAATGGGACTTTAAACCTACTAAACCCTAGGATGCTTGAACCTCTTCAAATTGAGGCGGCCCAGTGCACCGCTCCCTTAGGTTTTTCTCATGGCTGTCCCAATCCTCCCAATCCCTACAAGTGTTTGGTCGGTGCTTTGACCATCGCACATTCGACACCTATCCCCGTGTTGCGCCGTCCGAGTCCTTTCAAAAACTCCGTGAAAGATTCATGTTTGCTTCGTTCTGTGATTCCTTGTTTGGATTCCTGCTTATGTTTGAGTCTGTTGGAATCCGTGTTTGGCTGGTGCTTGGGAAGCAGCATGGAAACCAAAAAAAGGAGCCGCCTACTGGCAGCAACAGTGAGGAAGGACAACTCTGCCAGTCACAATGGTTTCTGGTTGAGTGGCATGGCTCAGACTTCGGGAATTGCGTGTAGCATGTACCAAAGCCGTCAACGTTATAAGCTGGAAACGAACATCCATGCCTGCGGATGCCTCCTATAGTTTCAGCAGTACAAATATGTTATTGTCAAACTGAGAAGCCCATTTGGGTCTGCTTTCGAAAGGGGAATCTAAGAGAACACCCATTTGTGAGGGACGGGGGTGCTCGATCTTAGGACACCCGATATTTATATATATATATATATGTGTGTGCCGATTGCTCAATGCTTTGGAGACTGCTTCGTCAAGCCGGGGTGGGCACGCACGCAAACTGTACAGAAACTGCACCGTAGTTGCATTCAAACTGCATACAGAACTCGCACTGGGAACCACGCATGCAAAACTCACAGACACACACACAAAATGCACAGACACTGCAAACTGGTTGCATGCAAAACGCATACACAAATGAAAGCAACACGAACAACAAGAGTTGCGCAAGGTAAGGCACGCAAGCAAAATGCATACAAAATGCGTAGAAACCGCATACCGGGTTGCATGCGAAATAAGTAACGGAACAGAAAAAGATATAGACCCAAAATGCATAGGACACACGCATGCAAAGCTGCGTAGCAAATGCATAGAAACTGCATACGAGTTGCACGCAAAATGCAGACAGAAAAGCATGCAACGTGTGCAACCACCCGCCCCCCACCCCCAACCCCTTGTCCAAGAGGTATGATGCTTCGGTGACTACCTGGAGTGGCTCGTTGACTTTACGACAAATCTACGACGCATTGCCTGCAGGAAAAAACCAAAAGGAAACCAAACGGAAACCAGCTGGTGGGAGCGAGCCCCTTTGAAGCACACCCAGCTCACAGTAGCAGGAGAAACTCAGCTGCCCAAAGGAGCCCCCAAAAAGGTCAATCTTTCCTCGGTTGCTTTCATTGCCCCCTCCACTTGGAGTTCAGACTGGCCGAGCGCCCCAGGCTCCGTAAACGTCATTGCCTGGCAAAAGGGGGAGCCCGCGGTACCAGCAGAAAAGCGAGAGCTCGTGCCCGCAAGCACTGCAGAAAACCAATAAGAAAGCGCTCCCATGAGTGAGCACGCCTACGAAACAACCAGGGAGTGCCGGGGAGAGCAGGCGCCCGCAATGAGGACAACGGGGAGCACCCCGTGGCCTGCAGAAAGCAAATTGGGGAGCACCTTATGAGTGAGCAAGCTCGCAAAACAATCGGGAAGCACCTCGTAGAGCGCCAGTGAGCACGCCCGCAAAACAATTGGGGGGCACCCCATGAATGTGAGCGCCCACAAGACAAGCGGGGAGCACCCCGTGCCTGCAAAACAATTGGGGAGCACCCCACAGGCGAGCGGTTCCGGAGCCCCCTGCAAAGCCGAGGGATGGCGCCTTAGGCAGGGCCCTGCGCTCCGGCGCAGAGGCTTCTTCTCTCTCTCTCTCTCTATCTTTCTTTCTCTCTCTCTCTCTCTCTCTCTCTCCTCGGTTGCTTTCTGCTCCCCTGCTAAAAAATGAACTTTTGGTGGTTTAATGGAAAACCCATTAGTGAGCAAAAAGTTAAAATCCGAACATCCAAGCAAAATGCACCAAACAATTGGGGCAATGACTGAAAACCGGCTGAAGAGGGGAAACCAAAAGGTTAAAAAGGTCGAATCGATTTGGCTAAGTGAAGAAACACCCGGGGGCCACATCTAGGTTTGCAGATCCAGCTAAAGCCCCCATGTCCCAGCTTGCGCGCCTCGGTCGACGTCTGGGGGGTGGCCTCACGTGCGGTTTTAGAAGCCAATGGCAGCACAGCCCCCAAAATCGCCCAAATGAGGTCAAATCACATTCCATTCCATATGTAATGGGTTCCTCCCGTTTTTGTTGGGCAGCGAACCTATTCTTCCTGACTGGCAAGCTGTGTTCTTTACCAAGCGCAGCTACCCGGCGGTAGAAACGGCACCCCTTTCGGGGGCTGACGACTTCAGGGGTTACTTAGCTGTGGCTAGTTGTGTTTCGCTGGGTTCATGTTGCAAGCCCCCTCTGTCAAATAATTTGACTTCCCCTACTCGGACACACAATTATCCATTTTGGGTTTATCCTAATATGGAAGGTTTCCTTTTGGCTGCCCTTCTACGAAACCCGAACCAGGGTACCGTAAAAAAAAGAACAACAACGCACACCTGGGTGGGGGACGTTTTTTGGCGAGCCTTTCATGTATGCAGCTGCAAAAAAAGGGGAGGTCGCAGGGAGGGAGAAGAACCTAGGCGTCTCCAAGGCTTCCTCACCCAAGGAACCCTTAAAAAAACCTCAGCAACCCTAAGCCTCCCCTATTTGAAACCCCGGTCGCCTTCTCGTATTGCATCTTCTCCGTGGACGCCGGCGACACCGTCTCCTCCGGCGCCGACTCCACGCACAGCGCGGAGGCTTTGTGGGTCGCCGTCAGCGAGGGCCGGCGCGCAGGCGTCGGCGCCTGGCCGAAAAGCCAACATCCGGAAGCGGAGGAACTGGCTTCAGTGTGTGTGTGTGTGTGTGCTTTTTGTTGTTTTTCCTTTTTCATAGTCTTTGTGGCTGGTTTAAGGTTGGGTTTCCATTTAAGCCACTAAAGGCTTGACTTTTAGCAAGTACCCTTCCACCTTTTTCAGTGGATGGGGCTGAAAAAGTGGCCTTCCACCAATCTGCGCATTTTGCAATGTGCGGAACCTGAAACAAGAATCGGCTCCCCGAGTAGAGGATCTTTACCATGGTGAGCTCGTCTTACCCGGGCGTGAGCTCGCCATATATTATGCAGACCAATTCACATGGAGCCTGACGTTCGTTTTGGGTTCCTGGCGGAAGACCATGTTCCTTTAAAGGGACCTTATGGTCCCGAACGTCAGCTTCCATGAGAACAGGGCGGGAGTCGTAACCAAACTTGTTCTGTGCCACTCACTAACGTACGGTATTCCCAAGAAGTACAATGTCCAGACAGTGTGGGGAAGTCTAGCTCGCACATGCTTCTTTTGTTCAACCAAGTACTTGTGCAGTACACCGGCAACAAACTATGCTTGCGCCAAAAACTGATATATCATATTGTACATACATTTCCGTTTTTCCCTTTTTGTTGTTGTTTCCCTCTTTTTTTTTCTTTTTTTCGGGGCTTATAAAAGTGCCATTCATTCAAAAGCATCTCTACTCTTGGTGTGGTAGCGAAAAACTGACTGTTTTTTGCAGACCAGTAAAAATGAACAGAACCCAAAAGCTCAAAAAACAAACAAAATGCCAAGAAGCGTGAAGTTGAAGGGTCTTGGTTTCAGGTCGCCGGGTCGCCTAAAGGTCGCAACGTTTGGTTGACCGTGGCGTGGGGGACCCTTGACCTCTCGTTCTTCAGATCTGCGCCCGGGGGCCCCAGGCACGCGCCTGATGTGACTGGGGCGAATCAGGGCCGGTGGATGGCAACCCCAAAAAAGGAGCCAAGATGACCACCAAAGCTGAGACGTGGCTTTCCGAAGCGGAACTCAGGAAGTGAGCGAAGCTTCAGCTAGTTTGGAACCCCCCCAAAAAATACCCAAAAAACGAGGTCGGCAAGCAAGGTTTGGGGTTTTGCACAGAGCTAAATGGGAACCCTCCCTGGGAACTGGGGCCTCAAACACAAAGCTGTGGCACTTTGTGTTGTTAGCATGTCTCAACATCTCGACACGCGAGATGAATTGACGCGGCCGAAGCGCCGAAGGCCTGCGGAAGATCGGCGATCACTTGCTCCTCGGTTAGGTCAGCAGGTCGAAAGTAGACACATGCACCATGGGTGGCTATAGTCTTGTTTCAGCTTGGTACCCTGTTTACCTCGCGTTGCAAGGAACACCAACAAACAGAATATCCGAAATCCATGGGTATCCCTATGTTGAGACAAGTTCATATTACCTTGCAACAGGGTGAAAGCAGATGTCACAACTCCCTTCATGTGGGCAATATAAGAAAAAACCATGAAAACCAAGCCATCTTTTACCCAAGTGCACAGTACCCGAATGCGTACCCACATTTACCCTAATGGGTGAAACGTTGTGCTTTGTTATCAGCTCTTGTGGTCAGCTACCAAAAACAAGTTGATAGCGAACCACCTAGTAAGTAGATTGTGGCTCCGAGCAAGGTGTTCACTGTTCCTAAACGCCGGCCAGAGGTTACCCTCTTTCAGGCCATCCAATGGGTCCTTCAACCCTTGGGATAGTCGAAAGAGTGCGAAAGCTCCCATCCCTGTTGAAGACACATTTGACCCATATGGGCTCTGAGTTCCTTTCGGATGTGGAAAAAGACAACGGATGAGACTGTCTTGTGCGTTCGGTGGGTGCCTCGCCTGAGTCTCCTTTCGCTCTCTGATTCAGGGCTTAAGGGCTTGATTGGGCTCGCTCCCCCTTCCTCCCCTCCCCTCCCATGAGGAAAGGGAATTCCAACTTGGACCTAAAGAAGGCGACCCAAGCATGGAAGGATGAGAACAAGGAAAACACGTATCGCTACCAGCAAATCATTGAAACAACCTGTTCCTAGACCCGAGAACCCGATTTTGGTTGTTTGAATTCATTTGGGGTCACTGAATGGCAGGAAAGGCTAAGGGTGAAGCTGCCTTCATATGCACCCTGTGTTCTGGGCTGTCCTGCTAAAAGCTTTGCTTTGAGTGGGTTAAATGGAAAACCCCACTAAACCAACTAAACATCCAAAAACTAAGGAACCGGATGGGGACCGCCAAGTGTTGCCAAATGTGAAATGGAAACCCTCCCCAAAGGAGGTCTGGCACCCCCAACTCGGGGAGATAGAATGTGAACCCTAACTGGGAAACCCCCTACCACCCAAATGAGCCCCGAGCCCCTTGACTCCCACAGAGTTCCCCAATATGGTCACCCTTCACCACCCGGCAAAAGCAACCACTCGCGGCTTAAGAAGGTTCTAGTGGTGCCTCCTTGAACCCAGGGCAATATGCAGCATAAACTGAGCCTGCTATGTTTTCAGTGAACATGTGGCAAACCCACTTGAGCCTCTGCTGATATTTAGCGCCAACAACAAGAGCATTCAAAATGGCTTTGTGTGCAAGTCAACCAGTTTTCTCACCCACCGATCCACCCCCCACCTCCCGCGGCTCCTTCACCCTTTGCACAGCCGTATTGACCATGTCTGTCATAATGCGATCCTCGCAAGCACAAGCAATCGTGGACATATTCTGGCCGGACATGCCTGCACACATTGCCTTGCTGGACGTTCTGGATGTTGATTACAGACCCTGATTCCTGCCACGCCAGCATTGGTCATGTTGCTTCATGTTGGGCCTCATTGCGCAAAAATTATAGTCTCTCACTCCACAATGAAACAAATCACTGCCACTCATCTTTATCCTGTCATCCAAGTTCCCGTGAAAAAGAACAAAAAGAGACACCATGGAACCTCAAAGGGCTGGAACCATTGAAATAAAAGGGCGAGGTTCTCACTATTACTTGTTGGAACCAGTTGGTGTCCCCTCACTTCCTGAGAGGATTGTCCAGAAGAAGTAGCTGAACCTTTTGGTTACCACTTAAATGGTCGTCCCACAAAGTACAAAGTCCACAAACCCAGGCAGTGAGTCCCCTGTTAAACCGTCATTTAGATCTGGCAAGTTTGAGGGCATCTTACATGTGCCATGGACAAAGAGGCGCCCTTCCTTTGGTATTTGATCTTAAACGAAAGCCCCCTTCAAAAAAAGAAAAAGCTGAACAAAGCATAAAAGCCATTGGGTGGGCCACTGAATCCATGTCCCTCGCACCAGCTGTCTGTGGATGGTTGCGAAATCCGCTTCTCGCAGCGCTGGCCCCAAATGCCAACAAAACTTAGGTTTCATTCCCATGGTTTCAACGTGGTGCGAACGGATGTTTGGGGATTTGAACGGGTCCCTGGCGTTTGTAGAGGGTAAATAGAAAGCCACCCCCATGGGGCTCCACCAATAGGGGTAGGCTGATAAGAAACTATCTCCAGGAAGGTCGCTCAAACTTTTTTTTTCAATTGCTTGGTTTTGTATATATTTGTTTGCGGTGTTTTTCTGCTGGATAATTTCAACTTGAGGTGGGTGTCTCTTAAAATCGATCTGGAACCCTCAACATGAGTGGGTGTCCTGTGGGTTCTCCTGCAAAAAACGTGGAAACTACCTTCAAAGCCAGACACATCCCCATTTCTAGAATGCTGGAATGTACTACCACGGCTCCTAGGCTCCTACATCCCAAGGGATTTCCAGAATGCTGGAATGTTGACCAAAACCCCTATTATGTTGCCGCACTCAACGGGGGACCTGTTTCTTCATTTTGCCGATACGGGTTGCCTTCATTTTGCCGGCCAAAAGAGAGTTGTCCAGGTGGGTATGCAGGGGACCGCAGGCTTTAGTCCCTGTTTCAATTTACCAGGCAACCCATTTGGAACTGGAACCCTCTCTGAAAGCTTAAAAACCAAAAGGACAACCGCTTCTTACCCAAGGGCTTGCCTTGAATCCACTGGGTGTGTCTTGATGGTTGTTTCCTTTTGGTATCCCTTTAAACCACAAGAAAATGAGGGTACCAACTCAACAAAAAGACGATTTTGTGCAGGTGACAATCAAAGCCGGACCAACAAAATTACGATTCAAGACAAGAACATAGGTGGCTTTGTGGAAAAAATACATGGCCCTGGTACATGGTTCATAAAATCCTTCTAAACCAGTGCCATCGATTCTTTACCAAGCCAACCGAGCAAAAGCACACCTACTATGGATGGACAAAAACCATTTCGCACCACCCAAGAAACCCTGGTGTCTGATGATTCCCCCGTAAAAACCAACAAACAACTGGCTTCAACCATGGTTTCCAAGTGGTGCGAAATGGACTTTGTCGATCCACATGATCGAACATCGGGGCCCTGCATCTCTCTTGACTGGCCTCAAGTCGATGCAGTGACTCGGCCATGCTCTCAGCCACCTGCCCAAAAAAACCGCCGGCGGTGCCCGAAGTGGGGGTCCCTCAACAACCCAAAAGGGGCTATCCTTAAACAAAAAGAACACACGTAAACGCGTTTTACCATTTTAGGAAGGGAGGGAGGGAGGGACGAAGAGAGAGGAAGAGGGAGGGAGGTGTGAGAATCTGTGTGAAGACTTGCAACCAATTGCGGTTGGCGCTTGGCATTGATCCCAGGCAACTCATAGGTTTCCACATGCTTGTTGCTTCCATTTGCTTCGCACTTCCCGCGTGAATCGGAACCACAAAAAGTCAAAACTGCCTATTGGCCACCAAAATGGTTATCTCGGGGAGTGAGTCCATTGCGTTCTTGCTTTTGCTTTCAGTCCACTAGAAAAGAAAAAAAACACACGTACACTTCCAGTAGTAACAAAATGTCTTTAAACCAATGGGGCAAGTCGGGTGTTTAATCCCTGTGTATGGACGCAATCCACAAATCGCACCAGCTGGAAAGGATGAAACCCGAGATAAGTATCAGGAGAAACCACCTGCCAACTGATTTTGTCCGTCCACCGTAGTTTTCACACGCCGAGGTGTCTTTTCTTGGTTGAGAGTTTGAGAGAGCTTGTCCACAGATCTACAAGCTGGTTTCACTGGCAATATCGCGGTTCCCTTTTGGCTTCTTGTAAAGCGACCCCCCTCTTGGGGGTTGCCTCGAGAAAAGGCGCACCTGGAGTCTCCCTGACCCTTAAAAAATGGGGTCACTACCCAAAATTAAGGAGTCATGGACCCAGTTTTTAAGGGTCATGGAGACTCTAGGTACCCACATCCGTTTTGCCAGTTTCGGCTTGGGCCAATGCCAATACCCGTGCCTTCCGGATCAAGGTGCCCAAGCTGTCCACGGCCTGATCTTGCTCCTGGACAAATCCGCGGAATCAAAGTGATGCCGGCTGAAACCAGACTGAAACCAACACCAAGCTAAACATCAGAAAAGGACTAACAACAAAAACACATGGGTGGAAGGCTGCTTGAGCCACACTAATGCCAGGGTCATGTATTTTCATGCATGTCCAGCCTAACATGTTGTCACACTAAAAGGAGACTCAATTGATTCTCGCAATCACAAGATCACGTTACAAGTAAATAGAAGCAATCCATGCGCGAGTCAGCTGTATTTTTCAGGTTTGCTAGGACTTGCAAGCATGGGTAAAGCAATTCACCACACACGTTGCCTCCCTCAAGAACGAAGATGCAAATGGGGGTTGATCACAAGGTACTTACATGGGATGACCAAAGACGAGAACCACTAAATATGACAAATATGTCGCACTAAATGGCTTAAAAGCTAGCCATGGTTATTTGGGGCCAGGAATATTGATTAACCCCCCACATATTTTGCCCGGGCCTCGGAAGCATCAAGTCAAAATGCTTGACGGGATTCCATGTGGGCTGAGGAATTCGAGGCTTCCGGTTTCTTGACTTTTAAGCGGAAAGTTTGAACACATTGCCTCATGTTGGATCCAACAATTTGGCTTTGAAAGGCCTTTTGGGAAGCCCCCCACTTTGAATCATGGGGTGCCCCAGAATCTCGTCACTTAGGGTTGACCCCCCCAGGAAAATATAGGATGACATCCGCGTCAACCAATTCGAGACAATCCCAAATACAAGCAGATTGACACCAAGAAAGACCTGCTCAACGCGGGTTGCCTTGGCAATGGGATTAAACCAATGCATCTCGTCCTACGAGAAACAACCCAAGGAAAGACTTCACAGGGCCCCAAATCTTGGTGCTCAGTAGGGAATGACCAGGGTGTTGGGAATGAACCGGAAGGGGATTCCGTTAAAGGAAACCACAGCGACGGACATTTTTGGGGGGCGTTCCAACTCATTCCTCGCTGAGGACCAGCAAGAAGTAGCCTTTGCACCGCAGTTCCCAACCGCCAAGCCCCCTCATGGACCTTTTCCACGCGCGCGCGCAAAAGGTAACCGCAACTTTTTGGGGGGGGCGTCTTTTGCAAGGGTACCCCTTTTGGTTTTAAAAAAGGGAAACCAAAAGGAACATGGGTTTTGACTCTTTTTGGGGCTCCGAATCCTAACACAAGCCCTCAAGCCGCATTCCGCGCGAATTCAGGTTCTCAAGTTGCAGGACCTTTATCTGGTGAAGTCCGCTGCACGAAACGCCGCTCGAGGTCGCTATGGACCTACCAAAGCGCGTTCGATCCCATCCGACATGAGGCTTTACTGTATTCAAGAATCCGGGACATGATGTTCTTTTGTAATGGCAATTGGGTGAGTTACCCCTAAAGAAGATAAGGTAAAAGTTAGGTGATCCATCATTTGTGGAAGCGGCACGCCCGGCCTATGACTGACCACCCGCTGTCGCTGTTCGAAAGCAGCCACTTGCGCATGGCAGGCTTGGAAGGAACCGACAAAGCGAACCAGCTATCCGTTGAGGTCATGGGCCCAGTCGAGTCACAATCAAAACCTGGTACAAAATGGTCCACCCAAATCCACGTAAAGAATTAAAGAGGCGGATATCCGTGGGCAGCGAAACAAAGAAATGCGTGCGTTGCCCATGCTCCCACTTCCGCCTGGGTGCGAATTTCCACACGCGGGTAAAGCCGAGTTGGTGTTCAAAGGGAAACCAAAACGGATGGTGCCAACCATGTTCGCCATTTTCTTTGCGCATTTTTTGCTGTGAACGATGGCTGGAGATGGCTGGTGTCCTTCCCCAAAACCAGCGAAGTGGGGGTCTCCTTGCGTAGCGTGCCAACATCATTCTCCAGTGCGCGGAGCTCCTCCCGTGGCTTGGGAAGCTGCAACTGGCAGTTTTCCCCTTGAGCTTTGGAGCTTTGCAGTATGTAAAATATCATATAAAAATACATGTCCCTGCTGCAGGTATATAAGTGGTATATAAGCTACCTCCAAACGCTATAGCAGAAAATGTCAACTTGAAACCCGGCCATGGAACCTGCTACGGAAGACAATGACTGCTATGCCTGGTACTCACTTCCCATCAAGTTGGTTCGCCAGGAAAAGTAGCCAAACTTGTTGTTTGCCACTAGAATGGTCAAGACCCAAAAACTCTCAAGTCCAGAACAGAGAGTGAGGGTAAGGCTTTCCCTTGCTCCCCAAACCTGCCATCCCCTCAGTGCATGACCCGAAAGTGGCTTCCTTTCAGATTCGCGGAAAACCAACTTCCTGAGTGGATGGGCCAACCAAAAGTCCAAACTTCTTGAAGCTTAAAAACCGTCTTCCCAACAAAAATCTCAAGTCCAGAAACTCAGGGAGTGGGAACCACTCCCAAGGCCGGGAAACCCAACTCGCAGCCCCTCGAAGTTGGTCGTGGAACCCGTTGGCTTTTGTCTACCGTTGCAAGTAAAGCAAGCACCAGCCATCGAACATTTGGGTCTGTTTTCCTTGAGGGTTCCCTTTTGTGGCTGGTTTAAAGGAACACCAAGAGGACATCATGCCCTACCAAAAACGTGACATTTCTTGGCCCAGCACTTCGGTTGTGCGGTGAATGCACGCAGGTTCACTGAAGTTGAAAAGATTCCATGACTTTCTCTTTCCAATGCTGGAAGATACTGGAAGGGGACGTGGAAGTTTGTCAGCTTCCATGATTGGAGACACAAGTCAAGCACCCTTCAGAAAGCGAGCCTGACAACCGGCTAAGAAAAGTGTGTGTGATGATCGAGGAGGGACCTGCAATGACCCTGTGTTCTATAGAAGTACATTCCCCAATCTTTCCAGGGATCCTTCTTTCCTCCGGAAACCCAGCGAGAACTGGCGGCTTTTTGGAAAGAATCATGGTTGAAAAGAATTGGGAATCCACCCCTAGATGTGTGCAGAGGATGATTCCAAGTTTCAGTGGATGATTCCAAGTTTCAGTGGCCTCCCGCATGAACATTCACCAAAGGCTTTTTGGTGCTGTGGCTCGCTCGAATCCATGGGGCTCAAGACTCAAAATTGCGAAGGATTCAAGAGCACAAGAGGACATGGGAAGACTCTGCAAATATTTACTATTTGTCCAAACCCCCATGTGCCCGAGATGGACTAGACATTTTGACATATTTTGACTGAACCTCTAATAACACCCGTTTCTTTGTGTCTGAAAAGAGGACGGCGGCCATGCCTATGCCGAACATCGAAGATGCGTCCCAGTCCTCTTTGGTCGCGACAGTATTGTTCATCTGGAACCAGGCGTCCAGGAAAGACTCCTGTGGATCTTTAGGCTGTGTGGGGGGGGACAAATGCTACCACTACCACCCAAACTACCACTACCAGTACCACCATCACCACCACCACTGCCACCACCACTACCACCACCACTGCCACCATCACCACCACCATCACTACCACTACCACCACCACCACCACCACTATCACTACCAATACAACCATCTAACCACTACCACTACCAACACAACTACCACTACCACTACCACAACCACTTCTACTAGACAGCTTTGCTGGGAGATCAAAGGATCTGCTGCAATCGAGAGCGCATGAATGCGCGTGCCAGGCGCCTGCTCCACCGTCCTCTTTCCTGGCAAGTCCAAGCGCTTCAAGTTGGTAAGTGTCAACGTGTACAGTAAACTTTAGGGTAATATCCATCCATTGTGGAGGAAACCAACGGGAGAGAGAGAGAGAGAGAGAAAAGGAGAGAGAAAGAGAGAGAGAGAGAGAGAGAGAGGGCTCAAGGGATGTTGGGGCGGATATTCGGGGGGAGTGGGGGGCAGTGGACCCTAGCAGACTGCCTGCTCTACCTGTTGAGGAGTCCGAGAGAGGGCATGCCCCAACACTAATCCCCAGTCTCTCAAGTTCAAGGGACACATGGAAACATCGTTCCTTGGCTAGGTCTCCCAGTAATTAGTGCCCTGTTACCCTTGTTTGGGGGGGAGGGTTCCTCTACTAAAATAGACTACAGAAGAAAAGGGTACCCTTATTCTAACCTCTCCACTGGAGGACCTAGTTGATTCATGTAGGAGTTCCGTCCGCGGCTTGGGAGAGATCTCTCAGAGTTTTGGACTTTGAGACGATTGGACTGTGACATGGGGATGTGTCGGAGGTTGCATGAGAAATGGGATGCTGATTTGGGTGCGTCCTTTTTCGAGAGTACCCTTATTGGTTGGTTTGGGAAGCCCAAGGGAAACCGTTGCCACTTTGTGGGGGTCCAATTCCTAAGGACAAACCAGCTATACCTCTAGGGGGTGATTCTCCATGCTTTTCAGCCATCGTTCTTTTCAGAAAGAAGGATCCCTGGAAAGAATGGGGAAGCTACCCCCATTCCATACCTTTGAACAGGAATCTCGGCAGAACCAAACCTCCGGCACGGCCCACCAGAACAGCTCCGTGCAGGGAAAGAAGCTCATGGGTTGATGCCACCTCAGCTTTTTCCTCCTCAGTTGCCCACGCACAACGCAACCGTGTTTGTTTCCTTTTTCTCGACCTGGAAACCATGTCGACCACTCGCGCCTGACATGGCCATATTGCTCTCTCGCTCGAAAACTTCTAGGGAGCCGAGGTAGGTGAGCCAACAAGACCCATGGGCCAGACCATCCTGCGTTCCTGCATATGCAAGATATGTTCTTCGTGTAATTACAACTCCAAAATTGTGTCCTTGGTTTTATCGGCGTGCGCATGGCAGTTTTCCGTTATTGGCAGTGCCAGCTGGTCAAGCAAATCTGCGAGCCAAAGACGCGAATCGAGCTAGCCAAGTCTAACATAGCCTAAGTGAGGTTGACCCTGTTTTTTGGTTATCCAAGTGGCTAACCACTGATGTCAGGTGACTTGTCACATATAAATTTCAATAGGGAGACACCACAAGTGGTTGGTGGACTTCTGAATCCCCGAACTCTGACGTCCCTGCGGGTTCCAAACAAATCCTCTGGCCTACAGTCATCTGCGCGAAAGCCTCAAAGGCCCATGGATGCACCAAACCATCTGCGGGACAGCAACCAAACGCCATGACACATGCGCTGGCTCTCCAGTTGGTGCATCAGGGCCACCCCGATGTTCCTCACTTCGAGTGGATTGGCCCAAAACAGTCCAAGTGTTTTCATCTACCACGAACATGGTCTTCCCAACAAGTTGAACTCTGGACGTGAGTGTCTGGGTTGGTCTTCCAATGGACCATGGAATCGACTGGATGGCTTCCGTTGGGCCCTGGAACGCCCCAAAAGGGTACCATCAGCAAAAGCACCCAGCTACAGTTCACCTTTGGACATCCCCGTTGCCACAAGGAGACTTACTTCAACTTGTGCAAGGGATGCTTCACATAATATTCTCCGCACGAAATCTACGAACTGAGGCTTAACTGAGGCAAGCTTTAGTTGTGTGTGTGTGTTTGCTTCTCTTGCTGTTTTGACTGGGAGAGCAACGCTGGCTTTCTCAGTCCTGCTTTTGCCACATATCTGGCCAACTGTTCGCTTCAGATTGCTTGAGAGGGGGAACGGAGATCCTGCTACTGTGGATGGACGAAATCCTGCACCACCTAAGAAACCCTTGAATTATTGATTCCCCTAAGAAAACCAACAAACAGTGGTTTCCCGTGGCTTCATGGTTTGGCTCGTTGCCCGCTGCTCACTAGCAATATTCCAAGAATCCCCCTTAGCTGCACAGGTTTGGTTCGTGGGTGCTCTAGAATAATTGTCGCCCCTGTCACTGTTTGATTTCCGGCACCATCACTATACGGGTGAGCCTTTTAAGGGGACCCCAAAAATGGGTGTCTTCTTCTTTCGGCGTTACGACCCAACCAAAGGGATACACCCAACAAACCTCACCCATATCACTCGAAAAGGATCCCCTTGGCCATTCCTTGGCCAGAAACTGGCTTGTTCCAAGACTATGAATACTGGTTGACAAGCAGCCAAAATCCAACGAGTGGCGGGCGTGGAAAAAGGCCAACGGCATGAAAGGCCTTCTTGGGCCAATGCGTACGCTCACGAGAGGTGCACGGCGTAATGCAGCTGGAGCATTCCGAGCGTCTCACCCAAAGAACCTCAAAATTGAAAACGGTAAAGCATGGGTCCTTCCTCCAAAAAAAACAATCAACTAAACAAACCGAAAGGAACGCCACCATTTTGGGGGGTTCCCTAGAATACACACACCTTATATGTTGTACAACGAGACGGACTGCAATTAACTTCCTTGCCTGGAGAGTCGGAAGGCGCCTGGCGCGAACGATCCGAGTGGTCCAATGTTGTGCATCCACGAATCCGTTTCGCCGTTGGATCTCCAGGAATCCGAATGGGCCACTGTAGGAGGCAAAGTAGCCCAAACTTGCTATTTACCAGTAAACATGGTGACAGGCCATGAGGACTATTTACCAAAATGGGCCAGGTTATCTCACTTCCCGAAAAGTTTCATATCCAGGTACTCGGGAAGTGAGATAACCTGCTAATGTTGACCTATGATTAATAAATAGGCCCCCCCTTGCCCCCCGAATGACCATAAATAAAGATTGGGGGAGAATTTTCAGGGTCGGGCTTTGTTTAAAGGAGCTTAGTATTGGGCTCTGTTTTTGTTGGTTTTCGAATACTACTTTAGAATTGGGCCAATTAAAAAGTAGTATTGGGCATGTTGTTTTTCTTATTTTGCTCTGGGGGAATACTAGTTTGGAATTGGGCCAATTCTAAAGTAGTATTGAGCCAAGAACTTTTGCATGCATTTCATGAGGGTTTGCATGGGCTGGCATGCATTCCAGCAGGGATTGAGAAGGACATTCATGAGCGTTTGAGTGGGCTGGCATGCATTCCAGGAGGGATTGAGAAGGAAATTCATCAGGGTTTGCACGGGCTGGCATGTATTCCAAGAGCGATTGAGAAGGAATTTCATGAGAGTTTGCATGGGCTGGCATGCATTCTAGGAGGGGTTGAGAAGGACATTCATGAGGGTTTGCATGGGCTGGCATGCATTCTAGGAGGGGTTGAGAAGGACATTCATGAGGGTTTGCATGGGCTGGATGTATTCCAAGAGATTGAGAAGGACATTCATGAGGGTTTGCATGGGCAGGCATGTATTCCAAGAGGGATTCCAAAAGGGTTTGCATTGGCCAGTTCAAAAGTAGTATTGGGCATGTTTTTAATGTTTTGTTTTGGGGTGGATTCTAATTTAGTTTTGGGCCAATTCTAAAGTAGTATTGGGCCAACAACTTTTGCATGAAGTGCATTAAGATTTGCATAGGCTAGCATGCATTTCAGGAGGCATTCAACATGAAATCCATTAGGATTTGCATGGGTTGGCATGCATTTTAGAAAGGATTCAGCATGCCATTCATGAGGGTTTGCATGGGTTAGTATGCATTTCAGGAGGCATTCAACATGAAACCCATTAGGATTTACATGGTGCATTTGAGAAAGGATTCAGCATGACATTCATTCATGAGGGTTTGCATGGATTTGCATGCATTTCAGGAGGTGTTCAGCATGAATTTCATGAGGGTTTACATGGGCTAGCATGCATTTCAAGCGGGATAATCATTAGATGTTGCTCTCTTTTTTTAAGAGGGAATCTGGTTAGCATTATTCATGGTCTGGTTTATTATTTAGTGCGTCATGGTTCATGGGGGATACCCTTGCTGCCAGGGTCAACGTGTTGATTTTGATGGAATGTTTAAAGGAATTTTGAAAGAATGGGATTCGATAAAATTGTGGATTTGGGATAAATCTAGAATCAAGTGTGGGATGACCCAAGTGGAATGGAAAGCTTGACCCTGCATAAAGATAAGGGGATCATATCGATTTGTTTGATGGGGGAATCTGGTTAGCATTATTCAGGGTCTGGTCATTATTTAGTGCATCAGGGTTCATGGGGGGTACCCTTGCTGCCAGGGTCAATGTGTTGATTTTGATGGTTTCTTAAAAGGAATCTTGAAAGAAAGGGATCCCATAAATTTGTGGATTTGGGATAAATTTAGAATCAAGTGTGGGATGACCCAAGTGGAATGGAAAGCTTGACCCTGCATAAAGATAAGGGGATCATATCGATTTTTTTGATGGGGGAATCTGGTTAGCATTATTCATGGTCTGGTTATTATATAGTGCATCAAGGGTTCATGGGGGATACCCTTGCTGCCAGGGTCAATGTGTTGATTTTGATGGTTTCTTAAAAGGAATCTTAAAAGAAAGGGATCCCATAAATTTGTGGATTTGGGATAAATTTAGAATCAAGTGTGGGATGACCCAAGTGGAATGGAAAGCTTGACCATGAATACAGATAAGGGGATCATATCGATTTTTTGATGGGGAAGTGTGGTTTGCATTATTCAGTGTCTTGTTATTCTTTAGTGCATCAGGGTTCATGGGGGATACCCTTGCTACCAGGTTCAATGTGAAAACCATGCAAATCCCATGGAAGATGATGGTTTGGAGCACTGACCCTGAATAAAGGTTAGATGCCAGAAGCATGCAAATCCCATGGTAAATCAGGTTTTTTTTCTGGCATGATCCCTGGATAAATCTATGACTATGACACCATGCAAATCTCGTGGGGGATGATGGTTTGGAGCACTGACCCTGAATAAAGGTTAGATGCCAAACGCATGCAAATCCCATGGTAAATCAGGTTGTTGTTTTTGGCATGATCCCTGGATAAATCTATGACTATGACACCATGCAAATCTCGTGGGGGATGATGGTTTGGAGCACTGACCCTGAATAAAGATTAGATGCCAAACGCATGCAAATCCCATGGTAAATCAGGTTTCCCTGGCATGATCCCTGGATAAATTCACTATGAAACCATGCAAATCCAATGGGGGATGAGGGTTGGGAGCACTGAACCTGAATAAGAATCTGCATTCTGCATGGATTCAATGGGAATTCTAGAGTTCTTTTGTGAGCTGGGGAACTGAGGATTCATTCATTCATTCATGTGGGGGGAAGGTTATTTTTTGAATTAGTGTATATTATTTTGTTATCTTTTCATATTGTTTCACCTGGGAAAAAACGGTTAGCATTATTTATGGTATATTTATTATTTTGTTAGCATTATTTATGGTATATTTACTAATCGTAGGTCAACATTATGCTGGGTTTGGTCTTGAAGAGGGTTGCTCCCTTGAAGAGGGTTGCTCCAAAACCCCTCAAAATTCCGGAAGCATCGGATTCAGGAAAAGCAACGGAATGCATCTCCATCCGCTTTGGTGCCAAAGTCTGAAGGCTCTTACCTTCGGTCGCTTCATAATCAGCTTCCTGATTGGTTTGGGTTGATGGGTGGATAGGAGCCGAACTACCAACCCCAACTAAGGGCTACCTGAGTTCACCCCAGTCGGAGGTAGGCAATTTGGGATAGCTCTTGGGGTGACCGGCTGGGAGGTGACCCCTAGCCGCCCCCCAAATCCCCGCCAGCCAGAGGGTCCCGGTAGAAGGATTTCGGGTGAACGTGGATGGCACCGTTCCCTCAAGGGGATGACTAAACCACAACTAGGTCCTCCAGTGAGGAGGTTAGAATAAGTTGGTACCATTTTTTGCTGTAGTCTATTTTAGTAGGGGAACCCTCCCCCCGAAAAAGGGTAAAAGGGCACTACTGGGGGACCTAGACAATGAACAAGTTGTGCCATCGACTTTCACACCGTAGTTCGGCTGATTTGGGCTGGTGCCAGGTGAAAAAATCCTTCTTCAGCTTAGGAACCGGCTCCCAGAGTTTTTTCCCACCACCCCAAGCTTCAAATGGGGATGTCTGTGTTGAGGGTACCCTTGTTTGCTGGTTTCAAAGGAAAACCAACATGAAAACCACCCATTTTGGAGGGTCGCCTAAACAAAGCCACGCGCGACTGCCAAGTTTACGGTCAAGCCGACGAAACCACTTGTAGGTAGACATTCCTGCCTAATAGGCCGAAAAAGCTGCAAAACAAGGCTCCCAAGGCAAACTTTGCATTTTGTGAGACGCAAAAGATGCATTGTGGTACCCCCAAAAACCACTTGCAGGCAACTATCCAGGGTTCAAGGGCTCTGCATGTTTGAGGCACCCAACTGGGCCGAATGAAGGGTCCCAGGGCCATTTTTTGCGTTTGTGAGGCAACCCAAAAAAATCCCTTGGTGAGGTCATCGCTCTTTCGAAAGGGTTCCCAAGCAGTCATTTTGCCATTGAAAAGGGTTCCCAAACAACCTGGGATCCATCTCCCTGACAAAACGACTTCAATGTGCAAAGGGGCAATGAACATACTCCTCACCACTAGGCATGCCAACCTGCAACAGCTGTCTTTATCTGCCACTATCCCCTTAAACAGCGTTCTTTGCTTCAAACATATCAGACACCTTGCATTTGCGTTTTGCAGTGCCTGTAAAATGCAAATCGCTGAGTGGATCGGCCCAAACAGCACAATACAACAACTTGCAAAAACAAGCCGTCTGGATCATAGCATTCTGTAAAAAGAAAGTAGCGGTCTGGACCAAAAGCGTTCTGGAAAACACTCGTTCTGGAGCGACTAAGCCTGGAAGACCGATTGGATGGCTAATTTGTGGATGTTCTTGGTTCCTTTGTTCCAACCTTGCAATATACAGGAACCCAGCACAAGCAATTGCTTGATCTAGGAAGGAATTGACAGTATAGTATAGCCTACGCAACCCTACTTGCCCAAGGCTTGAAATGCTCATTTCCCAAGTGGATGGCCCAAAAAATCCGAATTTATTATTGACCACTACGATGGTCTTCCAAAAAGTATAAAGTCCATGAACTCAAGGAAGTGAGAAGAATTGGATCCCCCAGTAAAGGACCTCACCTTCATGTGAGCTCGCTTTACCCACAGAGACATATTAGGCCATGGGCCATGGGTCAAAATCCCGTACCCCCAGAGGACATCCCAATCGCCCAGTGACTAAAATGGGTGGTGCACCTACCAACCAGAATGGGATCAAAACGGTCTTGACAACCACAGCCACAAGAGGGCCTCGGCTCGCTGGAGCTCTCGGGATCAAAACATTTCACCCCGCCTGGTGGCGGGCAGCGGCGCCAGCGACATCATGATGGCTGGGGGAAAAATGCGCAGAGTTCCGATCCTTTCTTCGTCCTTCACTACTGTGGATGGATGAAATCCTGCACCAGTTTGAAACCATGGGAAACCGCTGTTTGTTGGTATTTACAGGAGAGTCAGCGCTTCTCAGGTGGTGCAGGATTTCGTCCATCCACAGTAGGTCCTCCAGAAGTTTGAGGTTAGAATAAGTTGGTACCAACTTTGTCTGTTGTCTATCGCCCTACAACGCTAAGAGCTTACCTCGTGTGCTTGATTGTGGCGGGTCAAGCATGAACGGGCTGGGAGGTGGCTGAACAAAATCTTCAGATATTTGTCACAAACATAAACACTAGAAGGGATGAAATCCTAGATTCACAAAACCACGCTGTCGATCATTTTGGCATTGAAGAGTTCCAACCAACTTAGTTGGACAACATCCCTTTGCCTGTTGTGTGCTGTTCTGGTGTTTGAAACACATGCCGACCAAAGGGCATCTAAGAAGGCACAACCCAAATTATGTAACAAAAGCTTGGAGCCACACGTCAGAGACCAGCATCAATTTCATGTCTACTGGGAGTCTCTTTGGACATCTTTGAACAATGGCCCGGCCATTACACAACACACAAGAAGCTGTGTGTTCGCAACATGCAATCGTTCTAGTTTCAACATCCCCCCACCAAAAGGAAACTGGCTTCAACCTGGCTCAACATGCTTAGACCCATGGAAGCATGGCAATCTTGTCGTGCTACTCACCAGACGGGCATAAGTTGTATTGGCTCCCGGACCACAAAGGGTGGACAGAATTCAAGTCTACCCACTTTTCAGCTTCCTTATTAAAACATATTAAAACTCCTGACCCTTTACCCTCTCTAGGACATGGAAGCTAGGTCCTGGCGGGGTAAAGAGGTATGTGCTTTTGGAGGCAGCCCCGTCTAAACGGACGCCATTTTGGGATTTGACAGGGCAGACTTGGATTTTTTAAACAGCGCCCCTTTGAACAATGGACAGAACCAAACAACAAAACAGCTGCAAAACGCGGAAAAAAAAACGCATGATCCAACAACAGTGAATGGAGGCTATCCCACCAAAAAGGAACATGCACAGACGCATTTCACGAGGTGAGCTTCCTCTGTTTGGAACTCCGATCCGTTCCTGTTCTTTTCATCTCGCGGCGGTGTTTTGGAGACTATTGAGGCGCAGGATCTTTGTCCCTGGTTTCAACATCCTATAGGAAATCCCTCAAGCAGCGGTCCACTTCCCTCAAACATTGAGCGTCCGCGCTTGGGCCTGGTTCTTGAAAACGAACTGCTCCAGGGACAGGATGACATAAATGAAGTAGCAGTCTACGGCCGCGCCGATGAGAAATGTCACCATGCCCGTAGCGCCCACGAGTGCGCCTAGGAACTGGAGCCCCAAGCCGGTCACGCAGGCGAAGGCTGCGAGGCGGGCCCAGCGCGGGCTTCCGCGCGAGGCTTGCAAGAGACCGAGGGCCTTCACCAGCTGAAGGACCACGATCACCGCCAAGTAGCCGACAAGGAAAAGCGTCCCATGTTGTTGTAGGGCCAACAGGACCAGGCCGATGTAGAGGATGGCACTCACCGCGCAAAGAACTCCCCAAATCCTCGCCCCGCCGATCATCGGCAGGCAGCAGCAACACTGCTCGGTGGGAGCAATTGGCAACGACCAAGGCGGGACGCTAGCCTCAGCCGTCGCCGCGGGGTTTACAGTGGGCATGGACATATCAGTCATAACAAGAACAGTGGCTAAACAGCGGCAAGCTGGTATGAAGCTCGAGGTTCAGCTAAAATGGCTACAAAAGTAAGCAAACCTGGAAGCTGTTCATCAAATATGCATACGCGTCGAAATAGGGAGGTTCTAAGGGGCGCCTTCCATTTGGTTTCCCTTCAAAACCACCCAAGGGTGACAAGCTTTCAAGCAGTGCAGCGACACAATCGGGCTTCCCTGCAAGGAGATACCGAGCCGGCACTGACCGACTACTTAAACGGCCGAAAGTGGGTCCCTAAGTGGGTAATAACCATGGTTCTGACCCAAATACCATGGTTGTAAATCTAAGTGGGTTATAACAAGGCACTAACCACTTGCAAAGTACCCTGCCCCTTTAAGTAGCCCGCACAAGCATGAGGGTCATTGCATGTCGCTTTTTGGGACCGTGGACAAGTCTTCTGGTTGCCAGGCATTCACGGCGCGACAGGCCCCCCCTGAAATCAGAAACACCCATTTGGCTTTGCAGCTTTTTGGAGGCCCTGTTCAAGTGCTTGTTCATTCTGTACAACTTCCATTTGCTTAAGCCCCCTGGGAAAAATTGAGAGAATATGCCCAAGAGCCAACAGGGGGAACACATATTCTTAAGCAAATTAAAGATTCAAACTGAGAAGCCCAGGCTACGTCGAAGGCGTCCTTTGAAGCCATTTCCTCGAGCCTCAAACTACCAACTTAAACATGCAAATCACCAGCCACTCACTTCCTGAGTGGTTTGGCAGAAAAAAAACCTGAACTTTCTATGTACCACCAAAATGGTCTTCCCAAAAAAGTTTAAAGTTCTGGAACTCGGGGAGTGGGACCATAGCCTTGGTTGGTAGCAACCAATTCTTGAGGGTTGTCTGAGGGTCCCGTACCCTCTCACCTGCCGCAGCAAATCTTCATTTTGTCCGGCTGGTGCTAAAGCGCACCACCAAAACGCGATCGGATCGTGGAACTCTGCGAATGCCCCGCCGGAGGGGGGCAATGATCTGGCCCGAACAGTGCGTCTTGATTGTCTGCCCCCCCCAAGCGCAACCAAGATCACAAGTGAAAATTGTGTAATATTTTTTAGTTTTTGTGGCTCAGGGGCTATGCGAGCACCGCTCAAAATGCAAGGCAATCGCCACAGTCTTACGTAGCCTAGTTTGACGCTGGGCACACCTGCCAAGGTACAGAACTCTTCCTGGCTCCTGATGCAGTCATGGCCTGTTGTTTTATCAAAGTGGGAGGCTGCCAAACCCATCGCCCGTTTTTTGGACAGCCGTGCACCGCCTTCTTCAAATGGTTGGCCTTTTCAGGGGATGCCACAAAGCGGCCCCAAGTTTGACAACCCCAGAAGTAACTCCCTAACCCCCCAAAAACTCTCAACATTCTGACCCAGGACCCCTCTAGGGCCATATCGCCCAAAGAGGAAGGAAGCACCTTTCCAGGTTACCAACATGCTGGGCAGCCACGAATATGCTTGTTCCGTTCAACAAGGGAAACTGACAGGTTGGGTTAACTGGCCAAAGAAGGTCTTCAGTTCGTTTGTCTTGACTCAAATTTGGAACCAACACAATAGGCCCTTGCCAATTGAATAAAACACGTAATTGTTTCGCATTACTTCCTGAGTGGATGGGCCAATAAACAAAGTTCTGCCTTTACCTGCAAATCGTCTTCAGGATCTTGGGAATCGAGGTAGGCAAAACTACGCTGCCGGTAGGCGGCTGCACTGCTCGATCCTTAGGGACTCTGAGTCAAAGAAACACGGGGCCATTCCAACAAACAATTAACGGAAGGAACACAAAATCCCGCCAGTTGTAGAGAAATCTCTTTTTGGGAAATGGAGCCCCCTTTTCGCGTTCATGTTAATTTGTGGGTGAGCAATAAGTATTTGGCCTTCCAAAGCAGGCAAGCTGGTATTTACAGTGTTGGTGATCAGGCCGGCAAGGAACAACTCGCCAAGTTGCTCATGCCAACTCCTTGGGCAAGTTATCTTTCTTCGGAAAGGCCAAGAGTTCCAAAAAAGATCCAGGTACTCACAAAGGGAACCACCCCTTAGAAACCAAAAGGAAAATAGCTGGTTACTATAAGGGCAACTGAGATGCACTGGGAGAGATAAGCTACGGACCATGAGTTGGAGGCTGTTTTTGCGCGCCAATGCGCCCAAAACCAAAACCACAACCACCGCCGGGAAGGGCCCTCACCAGCCGACAGGGTCTAGTCAACTGTCGAGGCTACCGCTGCGCTCCTCTCCTAGGGCGGCTGCATGTGCAGGGCTTCATTTGGCTTTAGAAGAAAACCAAAGGGGCCTGAAAGTTATAGCCTACCCTCCCCAGACTAACATGGAAGCTCCCAGGACCCTTGTGGAAGACTTGGTTCCGTTTACAGAAGCCGTTTGGGAGCTTCCATGTTCGTCCGAGGGAGTGTAGGTCCCCCAGTAGAGAGGTTACTTTTTTTCTGTAGTCTATGTTAGAAGGGGAACCCTCCCCGAAAAAAGGGTCAAAGGGCACTACTGGGGGACCTAGTAGTGGAGCCAGGAAGAGTCGTTTGAAATGCAAAATCCCATGATTGGCATCTGAGAACCGGGGGGACCTTGATTGGAGATGACATCCAGAAGACCCTACGCCTTGGGCGGGGCAAGAGCCGGCTTATCCAGCAAAGAAGCGTCCCCTCGAATTTGATGCCGGTTGGCGGGTTGGCGGGTGAGCAACTTGCGGGTTATTTGCCAGGTGAATCTTTCAAACTAAGGGACCTCACTCTGGCGTCTTGAAGAAAATCAGGATCCCCCACTCTCCAATTCTTGGGATGATGTCCTTTCCACTTGGAGGAAAGCAGAACAACCAATCCGGAATCGTTATCTTTTTGTTCACGCCAAAAGGCCTGATACCATGTTGTGCTTCATTGTTCCCTTGTATAAAGTTGCAAACATCTTTATGGGAAATTAGTCACCAACCCTGTCGTCTCGCTGAAAGTCTGAGACTCCTAAGGATTTGTATGGCCTGGAACCGCCATGCCCAAAAATGGAAGCGGTGCATTGGGAATGAGCCAACCATGCAGGCAGGATGCAACACTGGACTTGACCAAGCTTTTGGCTTTCTCCCCTTGGTTTTCAGTTGACTCCTCTCAAGCAGCAAGAACTTCAACTCTTTGCAGCTCTACTTTCCAAACCTTGGGCTCTGAAAACTCGCGTTTCAAACTGTTTGCTTTTGCGGCTACCCGATAAAAATGAGAAGCCACGGAAACCTGGTGCGAGTAGACTGAGGGAATGAACCGTTTGGTTTCCCAAGGAAACCATAGGGAAGGATATCGGGGGAACTCCAATTCTCATCTGCATCTCTCGCACCAAGACCAAAAAAACAAAAATGCAATGCCAACAGTGCAACCTTTAGAAGCCTCGAGGAAAGGAGCTCAAGCCGGGGTGTGGTGTTTGAAGCTCGAGCACCCAAAAGAAGCCAAATGAGCTCCAGGTAGAGTATGGATGTGTCAAGTGAAGCCTCGTCTTGGCACAAGAATGCCAACATGGAAGTAAAATTCGCACCGATCCAGGGGATTGCTTAGAACAAGTCACCTTTTTTTTTTGTGTAAGCCACAAAAATGGTCTAACCAAAAAGTGATCCGTCTATTTGGAAAGAAGGATGCCTAAAATGGGGGGAAACTTACCCGCGCGAGGAACTCACAACAACGACACTGACTCCTGGCTGACATCGGATCAACTGGGTCCTTGGTAGCTTCAGCAGAAGCCCTCCGTCCAAAAGGGAACCTTCTAGGTTCTAAGTGGCCGTGAATTTTAGTACCTTAAGGGGCCATCGGGTACTTAACAAGTGGCTAGTAAGCCTGGTTTTTTCCCCACTTAGGATCTCGGAGACTTACAACCATGGAAAGTGCGTTATAACCACGGTTACCCACTTGCTAAGTACCCTCACCTTTAAGTACGGGACCAAAACTGGTGGACATCTTGGTGAAACAAATCATGCCCAGCACCCTGGTGGATTCAGATCTATAGCCCTTAAATCTAAACCTGCCCCCCTCAGCCCCCCTAAGCCCCCCCCTAAACCAAAGCCTTCCCAGCAGCCCAACCTTGCGCCTGGCCTAGTCCCATCCTCTAGACCCTGAGCTTCCCCAAACCCGCTGAAACCTACAAACACACCCTCGCCCTAGGTACGAAACGCTCATGCGAAACCCACACTACTTTCACTTCAAACACCGCACCAAAAGGAATCTCTCTTCAGGCCCGCCTTAAATCACATACTTCCATTTGGTTGCGACCCCTGGAAAAAGAAATAAAAAATAAAAATCCCGTAGTGATAAATTGAGTTTAAAACCAACAAGGGAAAACGCCACATGGGTGTGGCTCAAAATTCAAGAGATCGGGTTACACGGTATTTAAACTTCTGTTCCATTCACCAAGGTGCCATTTTGGTACATGTTTTTGAGCAGCCACATATTCTCCCCCTGAAAACATGAAAAACTATTCCAGTAGTGATAAATTCCATTCAAAAACCAACAAGGGAAAACAAAACCTATTCTTAAGCAAATGGACGCATAGCGCGAGAAGCTGCCAGCCCTGCCGCCCGCCTCACGCCGCTTAGCTGGGGAAGTCGTCGTCGCCAAAGACGAACTCGTCGTCGTCGTCCCCGTCGTCCTCCCGAGCGCTCGCTCGCAGAGCGAAGGCGCTCTGAGGCGCGCTGGGCTTGGGACCCGTCCCAACGAAAACCTCAGTTGTTCAGTGACCCTGGGAAAAAAAAGGGAACCAATTTGAACAACTGAGAAACAGGGAACGTTGCGGGCTCAGCGGAAAGGTTGAACAAGCATTTGGACCACTTTTTGAAAGCCGAAAACTGTTCAATCGCACCATGGAGCAAATGCAACAAACTCAGGTCGGTCACTGGCAGGCGCCTTACCGCCACCCGGCAGGTCAACCTGGGACCTTGATATGGATCAAGGGAGACGCCTCACCGCTCAAGGATCAGCTGGGGTGTTTTCTGGCAGGCGCCAGTAAAACTTTGAGCAAGTATACAGCCTGAAAAACGGTCCGTTCGAAAACAAAGAACTTGCCACAGGGCGACATTTAAGGTTTGAGAAAGTGCTGAACATGATCGGAGCCTCGGTAGCTGCAGTCGTTGTTCAAGTCACGTGCAGCTTTAGCTGCAGCTGTATTGCTACATGTCCCCAATAATATAAGCGTATGAAACCCCTAACCCACAGCAGCCACCCTGGTATTCCCATTCCATGTGAGCAGCGCCCTTTGACTTTGACGTTTGGTGCTGTCTGTGCGGCTGTGTACCAAAACGCAATGTGTGAGGCAGCGCTAACTATGAATGGAAGAGACCAAGAACAGAAGCCCCCAGCGTGGCTATGGTGTCCGCAAGGACACACTCCTAAATTAATGAGAATAACTCTCCCTATGTGGGTGACGACAAAACCGCAGCACTGTGGTGGCTGCGGCAGTAGATTGATCATGATCCGTCTCACCACTCAAGGAGCTGGGGATCGACCAAAGTAGTAGAGCTGACTGCTTCTCCCTGATTGGCAGCGATTTCTCGGACAGTATGCTCATCACTTGGTTGCTGTTGACCCCCCTGCAAAAAGTTTAACTGTTTGGGGGGTTAGTGGGAAATTTGATTTTCCCCCCCCCCCCCCAACAAAAAGTCTAAAGATCCAACCCAATAGCAGTCAAGATCATGCTTGATTGCACAGACCACCAGGTCCCTGATACCTTGGTGGTGGGATACTTGCAACTTCAAACAAATGTGTCACGCCTTTGCCGGTTGGACAACCCTGAACCGTATGACGTACGGAACATCCAAGCAGATACGACCGAAAGCCGTCCTCCGGGAACAGGCCCTTCTTGCGGAGGAAGTTGTTGGCCTGGCAACTGGGTACCACGTAGTACCATTGCCCAAACCCAAACAGTTGAAAGTCCAACAACTCGGAAAGAGAAGCGCATACCGAGGGATATCTGTCGCGCTGGTAACATGATGAAGAACAAAGGTTTGTGTGCCGAACTCCAAGCATACAATTATGCTTATCCTCGCCGGTGCACAAACCATTTTCTGTTCAAACAAGTGCCTTGGATGCTGCTCATGAGAGTTATCTGACTTGGGCGAGACACGTCAGACGAAACGGACAGCCCTTTTGTGGTTCGACTCCTAAGATTTCACTTGGCCCCAAAAACAGGGAACAATTGGAAAAAAGGTGCGTGGAATTTCGCCTGCCTGAGTATCCCTACTTCTTGTATTTGCAACAGCCGACATGAAGCCTATGTTTGGTTCCGTAAACAACAAGTGGAACTAGTGGGATTGCTGTTGGTTGTGGCCTAGTTTCAAGGAGGTTATTCCCTGAGTAGCCCCCAACAGAAATTCCGAAAAGTCCGAGACCGACCCAAACCCTGAGCAAATCAAAGCTGGCTTGTTGTAAGGAATATCTTTCGCTTTTGTCCGGCCCCCTTGGGTGATTCCCCGAGAGAAATGGCGAAACCAATCGAAATCAAAGATCATGTTTTTACAACCCTTGCCACGGTTGCAAACAACTTTGCGAATGTTTGCAACCCGTAATGTCCAAATGGGATGAAACATGCACAGGGAATAAAGACAAATGGGTGGCCGAAAAAAAAATAAAAAAACATATAAAAATAAATGCACCTGGAATACAGACTAACACCAGCCACCCCGCCCGGATTGTTCTGCAACAAATGGCAAAAACAACGGAAGAAAAGAAGGCGAGAAAGGAGAGGAAAGTAGCCAAGAAAATTCCTGGCTCTTGGATCTTTGGTACCTTGTCCGTCAGCTCCCCCAAAAAACACAAAATGTCCAGCTTTCATAAACCACGGGTTCCTTCACGTCTCGGGTTTAAAAACTGTCCGCAAACACGAAGGTGGCAGCGCTTCAGGCCCCCAATTTGGCATTCTTTCAGGGGCCCTGGAATACATTTTTGTTGCCTGGCCCCAGCTCACAATACAACCTGCACAGTGTAATTTATTCTTCGCTAGTTAAGTCATTAGCCAGCCGACAATGCTTCAGGCTCGGCCTTTAGATTTGGGCCTCCTCAAATCCAAACTAGTCAGCTGTCCCAAACCCATGTTTTCATGCATCTTGACTAAAACCTGCCCACAATCAAACCCACAAAGGGGGCTGAGGGCCTGGCTCCCCCCCCCAAACAAATACAACCTGACCAGTGTAATTGCAAGTTAGCTAGTTCAGTAATTAGACAGCCAACGCCCGAACAAAAAAACACAAAAACACACAGCAATCGCCCAAAATGCCTTACATCGTGAAACGCCCTGGAGAAGTATGCAAAGGAATGTCCAGGATGAAATGGAAACTCAACTCCAAGTCTCTGAAAGGGCAGAAGGTGACTTGTGTGCTTCTCACAAACAAAAAAAACCCAAAGCTCACTTCATGAGTGGACTGGCCCAAAACAGTCCAAACTCTAAGATGGTCCAAGCCCAGAAAGTTTCAAGTCCAGGATTTGTTTCGTGTTGGCTTCCCTCCCCAAATTGTGTCCGAATCCACTCGGCCTCCAGGATAAGCCCTTCCCGGATCTTCAGGGGAAAGACACCCTTGTCCTCGCTCGAATGCGACTCGAATGCAAAACCGCACGGGCTGTCACAGACTCCTCGAAAACCAAAAAGAAAAACATGGCTATGAATTTCAATGGTTGGAACCCTCTGAAAAGTGGTTGGTGGACTTCTGAATCCCCACCAGTTCGGGTCCCTAATTACAAAATCATAGCCACATGAAAGCTGAGAAAAAAGGCTCCGAGTTTTCTTGGGCCATGTAACAGGGATACGTGAAAAACACCTGAACATTGCAACTTGTAAATGGTGGTTTCCAACTTTATTTTGGTGTTGAAAAAGCAACATGTTTCAAATGGTTGCAAAATGTATCTTTTGAGGAGCCCTGTTTAAACTGAGGTGCTGGATGTGTATCTTTTCTCTGTGGCAGTGCTTTTTGCTTTGCGGTTCAGGGCTTTGTTTACCCTTGGTTTGGGATGTCTGACCATGCCGGGACGATTTGTTCTTTGGTGTTGAGACACCCACATTCCCAATGAAATACAAATCCCAAGCACTCCATGTCAACATTTATTCGCATTCCAAATTGGTCAAATGTTGGTATATATTACCTACAGGGAATGTGTGCTAAGGAAGTGTTTAACCGGATGTCCAACCGGATGCTTTCTTTCCATCCGCTGGCAAACACCGGACTTGATCTCAATGTCCACTCAAATGGTCGCCGGAAACTCCATGGGAACATCGATCTGTGGGTTGTTCTGACCAAAATCGTGGATTCCAACGCTGGGTGCAATCATCCAGCGGTCGGTCTTCATTTTCTTGTCTAGACTACGCACGGGCCACTTGCAACTACATAATCAAATGGACATTTCGCAGAAGCAATGATTCAAGCCTGCCTTCGAACTTCACACCGTCTAGGCATTGGACAAAGCCATCGCTGAGGGACAGGTGCTGCAGGCTGTCAGGCAAAGTCACTCCGTCCAGGCTTTGGGTAGAATTGCGGCCAAAAGTCAGGCTCTGCAGGCTGCCTGGCAAAGTCAATCCACCTAGGCATTGGTTAAAGTGATCGCCGAAAGTCAGGCTTTCCAGGTTGCCTGGAAAAGTCGCTCCCGCTAAGCTTTGGTTGAAATGACCACCAGAAGTCAAGCTCTGCAGGTAGCCGAAAGTCAGAAATTGCAGGCTGCCTGGCAAAGTCACTCCATCCAGGCTTTGGTTGAAATTCTCGCCAAAAGTCAGGCTCTCAAGGCTGCCTGGCAAAAGCACTCCGTCCAGGCTCTGGTTGAAGCTGTCGCCGAAAGTCAGGCTCTGCAGGCTGTCGGGGAAAGTCACTCCAGTCAGGCTTTGGTCAAACATATCGCCAAAAGTCAGGCTATTCAGGCTGTCTGGCAAAGTCGCTCCGTCTAGGCTTTGGTTGAAATCACAGCCAAAAGTCAAGCTCTGAAGGCTACTTGGTAAAATCGCCCCATCCAGGCTTTGGTTGAATTTCTTGCCAAAAGCAAGGCTCTGCAGGTTGCTTGGCCAAGCTACTCCATGCAGGCTTTGGTTGAACTTGCAGCCAAATCTCAGGCACTGCAGGCTGCATGGTAAAGTCGCTCCATCCAAGCGTTGGTTGAAATCATAGCCAAAAGTCAGGCTTTGCAGGCTGCATGGAAAAGTCGTTCCATCCAAGCGTTCATTGAAACTCCAGCCGAAAGTCAGGCTTTGCATGCTGCCTGGCAAAGTCACTCCCGCCAAGCTTTGGTTGAAGTCGCCCAAAGTCAGGCTCTGCATGCTGCCTGGCAAATCCACTCCATCCAGGCTCTGGTTAAAGCTATCACCAAAAGCAAGGCTCTGCAGGTTGCTTGGCAATGTTACTCTATTCAGGCTTTGGTTGAAATCACGTCCAAAAGTCAGGCTCTCTAGGCTGCCTGGTAAAGTTACTCCATCCAAGTGTTCGTTGAAACTCCAGCCGAAAGTCAGGCTCTGCAGGCTGCTTGGCAAAGTCACTCCATCCAGGCTTTGGTTGAAATCATATCCAAAACTCAGACTCCGCAGGTTGCCTGGCAAAGTCACTCCATGCAGGTGTTGGTTGAAATTATCACCAAAAGTCAGGCTCTGCAGGCTGCTTGGCAATTTCACACCATCCAGGCATTGGTTGAATTCATGGTCGAAAGTCATGCTCTGCAGGCTGCTTGGCAATGTCACTCCATCCAGGCTTTGGTTGAACTTGTAACCAAAAGTCAGGCTCTGCAGGCTGCTTGGCAAACACACTCCATCCAGGCTTTGGTTGAAAAAATAGCCAAAAGTCAAGCTCAGCAGGCTGCCTGGCAATGTCACTACATCCAAGCGTTCGTTGAAACTCCAGCCAAACGTCAGGCTCTGCAGGCTGCCTGGCAGAGTAACTCCCGCCAGACTTTGGTTGAAGTGAACACCAAAAGTCAGGCCCATCAGTGTGGATGGCAAAGTTGCGTTTAATTGAGCTGTATTCAAAGACATGTGGGTCACACCTTCCAGGACCTGTTCAGAATCATCAATCCCTCGTCCTTCCAGCACCCTGCTCGCCTTTAGCAAGCAGGTTGGAGTGTAGGTGATGGTTCCAGCTGAGTCTGTGTGCAGGCCCTGCTGTTGCAAAGTTCTGTCATATGCCAGCTTGACCTCAGTCGCCCCAGTTTCCGACAAATGGGGGGTGATCACCTTTTGGGGCCGCGCAACCTAGTTGCCCCAAAAATGGGAAAACCAAAACGCAGGAATCGCTTTGGTTACAAGTAAGGTGATAACCTTTCGGGGCCACTCAACATGGTTGCCCCAAAAACGCTTCAAGGGAGTCTTAAGTTTTCACCTTTTGGGATGCTCGGCATGTTTTTCCCAAACACCTGGAAACCCGTCAACAAGAAAGAGGGCTTCCACGTTTTTCAGATGGCCAACTTTTCTCGCGAGTCACCTCACCGAAGAAGACCTGGAGCACCCCCGGCTTGGGCGGGAGCTGGGCCCTGACGAGGCGAAGGACCTCGATGCCGAGGATGTGCTCGGGCACGCTGAGCTGGAGCTCGCTGCCGTCCAGACTGGCGATCCTCAGCTCCAACACGCCCATGGCAGAGCTCAAGAGCTGCTTCTTTAAGCAGCTCGGTGATGCGAAACGGGCGTGGGCACGGAGCAAACCGAGAAACGTAACAAACAACAAACAAAACAACAAACTGCAACTGATGTTAAGCGCGCGGTGATGCAACAAGGGCTTGGATTCCAAGGAGCAAAGAGCCAAAAAAAAAAAAACAGAGGAGCTGGCAGGTGATGCAATTGTCATTCTTGTGACTTTCTGTTCGGATGTAAGACTACCCCCGACCCCAGGAATCCGCGCGACGAGCCTTCTTTTGGGGTGGTGCGCTCTGGTGAAATTCTCGAACCGTATCGGATCCGGAAAGCGAAAGGGACAACTCAAGGTGGCACCCACTTTCCTCCCAAAGTTCCAAAAGCCACCATGCTTGAAACTGAATGGTCCGCCTATCAAGTTGTTGAGAAACATGTGTAACCATGCGTATCACCACTGTAGATGTGGTTGTTTTCCTAGTTGCCGCTACAAACAACAGTACAGTGGTTCAGAATGCATGGACCAGCCTTTTCAGCCATGACCTCGTGGCTTTTTTTGCGAGAGCCAAATCACTGCAGACGAAGCAAGCTTGGCGCGCGGGAAAATACCCATGGCCCCAAAGGAATCCTCAATCTCCGTGGGAAAAAACGGTGCTGCCCAGAAAAGGTTGGCAAATGATGGCTGCATATGGCTATGGGTCAAAACCCCGTACCCCCAGTGAACGTCCCAATCCCCACTGAACAAAAACAAAAATGGGTGGTGCACCTACTCCAAAATGGTACTATTGGTGTTGACCCACGGTCATATCACCAAAGAAGTGTCATCATACTCAGACAGCTAAAGAACACAAGCAAAAGACGTGCACACGTGGGTTACTCAGAGACCCGCAAGACGAAAGATCGACAAACAAATCGACTGTCCTGTGACTGCGGGACAACCATCGGTGATTGGCCAAAAGCCAAACAGCAAAGAGAAACTTGCTCTAGGTTTGGTGCCATATCGGCGTACCTAGAGTCTCCTGCTGACCCTTGAACAATGGGTCCATGACCAGTTTTAATTTTGGGTCATGACCAACCATTTTTTAAGGGTCATGGAGACTCCAGGTAGGTTCTTTCTATGGGATGTTTCCTTTCGGAACTAACAAACTCAAACACATGGCTGGAGCCATGAAAACCCCCAAAACCGCCCAGCTCAGGTAGTCGGGGAAGTCCCCGAGTCTTCTCTCCCCTAAACCAAGTTGAGGTTGTATAAAAACTGCGCTGTTTTGGGAGTTGCTGTTTTTAACTTGTTGGCTATCTGTCTTTGTTGATTGAGTGGATGACCCAAAAAAGGCACCCTAAGTGTTCGTGTATACCAGCTCAATTAATGGTCCAAACCCAATAAAGTCCATGAACTCAGGAAGTGAATAAACCAACGTATTTATTGCTACTATCAGCTGAAGGGCAATGATGGCAATATGCTTCCAAACAGCGATCAACGTCTTCTGCCCAAAAGGCTATCAAGTGGGGCTTCCGAGGATGTCTTTATTGGCTGTCTTGACTTTCGTACTGAAGCTACGTTGGCGAAAACCATTGCAAATGTCTCACTCCTTGGATTGCCAAACAACTCTAAACTTGTGGTTTAACACCAGAATGGTCCAAAGCCAAAAGCATAAACCCTGTGAACTACCTGAGTATCCCTTCTACGTCTAAGTTCCCTTAGCTGCAGTTGGGGAAGATGCCCTTCTGGCAAGCTATTGGGGAAGCTGACTGGCTGGTGGATACTTGCTGGATGTGCCACGTGCTCTTGGCACAAAAGTGTCTCTTGTCTGCCACAACAGTCCCCTTCGAGTACATTTCAGTAAAGCCGGGCGCCATGAAAAGAATCAAACCAGCTTCTAGACCTGCTACACGTTTTGTAGTGTAACCCCAAGAAATACATCATAAGAAAACTGTACCCCGAATGTTTGGAAATCCCCAAATTAGGGGGTGTCCCCTTTTCGAGGGATGACCCCCTAGAAAAAAGAACGACTTATTAAGCCGGGAACAACATTAGTTGCCAACCATCAAGAGTTCAGAGTACCTTGAGGCTGTAGCTAAGCTTGCACCAAACAACAACCGCCCGTGTCAGTCGGACTGGGCTACAAATCTAGAACAATTGAAACTGTGCTTTAAGGATCCTTTCCCTTTTGGACAGTAAGCCCCGGATTGAACCATTGCGGCAGGCTCATCAAACCCCAAAAAGTTCCTTGAGAACCAGCAATTTTGAGGAACCAACCAAGTACTTTCTCACCCCTGTTCACGCCCAAACAACCATCCTGAGGGTACTTGGAAGAAGGTCAACTAGGTCCTCCAGTAGAGAGGTTAGAATAGGGGCACCCTTTTTCCTGTAGTCTTTTTTAGTAGGGGAACCCTCCCCCAAAAAAGGGCAAAAGGGCACCACTGGGGGACCTAGTCAACACAGGTGCAACAAGTCGGTTCGTCTGCCCCGTCCGCATTGGTGGCAATGGCGCCAGTGCTAACGTCCTGGATGCAGCCGAGGGAACCGTGGCCAAGGAGGCGTCTTATATGTGTTGTGTGGGATGTGCCCCAAACATACACCCCGGAGTCATCCTTGAATATCTGAAACATGGAACAACAACAGGAAACCAAGTTGCAAGGAAATATATGTATGTACATATGTATATATATATATGAATATATGCGTGTGTGGCTGTTTGGAACCTTATGAAGGTGGTTTAAACGGAGGCCCAAGCGAAACCAATGTTTTGGGGGGCTCCCCCATTTTGAGTCAAAGTCAACAGCTCAAACTTCTGGTGGGGGGGTGACACGCTGCCACCAATCAGCTGGATGAACCCTCAGCCTAAACGCTGCACGCAAAGCCAATTTTAAAGCCACTCTCGAAAATCACGCGCTTCAGAGCAACACATGCAGTCAACTATCCCACCAATTGTTCCACGCAAGTTCGTCACGGGGAATGCGCAAGGAACATACAGAATCACCCGGTTTGGAAAGGTCCACAGAACTCATTTGACACAACTCTTCCCTCCACGATTTGTTGAAAACTCCTGTACCTCCCATGCTTTGCACCGACTGCTTCAAGTAATGTAGCTGCTCCTTGAGTATTCACCACAGGCAAGTCCCACAGTTGCTGGCGGGCCACAAACACAGGTTCCGCTGGTACATGTGGAAGGCACCAGCAAGACCCAAGCCAGCAAGACCCAACTTTAATCTCACAAACCCTCCTGGGTATGGCTCGGGATTGCTTAGGGTGCCCTTTTTGGGTTTGGTTTAAAGGAAAACCAGAAGGAACACCCTCCCATGTTGGGGTTCTCCAATTTTGAGACACTCCAAAATACAAACAATTGGTGCAGCATTTTGTCCGGCACGGGGGATGCCATCACACCACATGTTTCCTGATCACAGGATAACAATGTGTGTGTGTGTGTCACAGTACCACTTTATTGGGGAAACAATCTCTGCAGGGAAATGGCATCCAATCCCTGGGATTGATTCATCAACTCCCGGCATTCTAGAAATTGGATTGCCCCAACGTAGACTCAAACCCACCGGTCCAGTAGCTGAAGACATACCTTTTATACCCACAACTGTTCGAATGTCACCACTTCTCACAGACGCACCCATACCCCCAAAAAATAAACGGAAAAAGTGGCCAGAACTACAAGAGGGCTAGACAATAGAGGTCACAACATTGAAACTGAGTGCGGAACCATGAATTGGGAGGCTGGACCCGTGAAAAAGTGAGATTGGAATCTGGTTCCTTCCCTTTGGGAAGCGAGCTTGGTTCCTGAAACAATGGTAGCCATGGGCCAGTTACCTGCTATACAGGTTGCCAAGAAGCGCCGCGATATATATGTATATATATATATATATATATACACATAATTATATTTACATATATATATATATGTATATACATATATACATATATATATATAGACACATTTGGAGACAAACTCCCCCCCCCCCAAAAAAAAAAAAAAAAGAGTTCCGGTAGGTTCATGCGGCAACACACTTCGGCTCCTTACCCTTGCTGAGCATGCTGTACCCGGGCTGCGTCTTCAGCACCGCCTCCAGCCACTCCTGGCGGCTTTGAATGGGTAGGTCCTGCAGTGGAGAGGTTGGAATACGTTGGTACCCTTTTTTTCTATTTTGCTTGGGGAAGCCTCCCAACCAAAAAAGGGCTGAGAAAGGGCACTACTGGGGGACCTAGTTGGCTCAGGATTAGAACCTTCCAGACTGGTGTCCAGTGCTCGGATGTTCGGCCAAGCCCTAGGGGACTTAGAAGTGGGTTCTAACCTAGGGGACCACTAACTTGCCCGAATACCCAAGTGGGGGGCCCTGACAACCATAGGAACTAAGAAGCCTAGCCCAGAGTAAAATTGAACAGCACAAGCAGCATCCGGCATGTTGAGTTCTTGTGGCTTGTGTCCCATAAATAATAAAGATCAATCGCTTACGCTTACTTCAGAGAAGCTTGGTGCTTGCCAGGATACATCTGGGTGAGCTATAATTGATACTTGGCCCAGATTTTTGGCACACTGAAGATAGTGGATTCTCTGTAAACAAATTAAAAAGGCTTTGGAGTAGAGCTCAAAATAATTTCAGAGATCTGATGAGAGGATGAGCAATCAAGGTGGAAACTGATCCGCAGCCACTCAGCCACTCAGCCACTTGGAGTGGCTGCTTTCCCAGCCACTCAGCCACTTGGACTGGCTGCCCCCCCAGCCACTACTCAGCCACTCAGCCTGTTTGTTGTTTTATGGCTTCCTTGAGTCAAAACAAACATTCGAGCATGACAGTAGTGCTTTTCGTAGTTGATTGCTCCCCTGGATGTGGCAAGTCGCGTTCAAAATGGGTCCCTTCTCTTACTTGTAATCGGGCTTAGTGGTCAAAAAATGTTCCCGCAGGCAAATGTCTAAAAACAGAGCCATTATCAAAGTACCTTTTTGCAATGTTTTTTCTTCCTTGAACGTGGACAAAGACACTCTCGCAAAGGGCCCCCTTTTCGGGCCAATTGCAAATATTGAAGCGCATCTTTTTGTAGCACATTGCTCCCTGCACGTTCCTTGAATGTGGAAAAAGACACTCTCACAAAGCGCCCTTTTCAC